TTTTTTAAAAAAAAAAAAAAAAAAAAAAAAGGATAAGGGCATTGAAATAAGATTTGTTTCATGTGGGGATGTCTTGTGTGCCATAAGCAAAACTGACTCAAAAAGAGTCAAAGCCATTTAACGAGCTGCAAAAATGCTGCCGTTCTCAACAGCATTTTATCCCTTTTCTTTTCATGGGGATGAACTGCTGCTGGTACTGGCCTGGGCTTCACAACTGTGCCCTGCTGGTGAATACGGGGAAGGGCTTTGGTGGCCAAGAGCTGGAGGCTTTGGCAGTGGCAGAGCATCCTTCTCAGCTGTGTGCAGGTACAGCAGCTGCAGACGTGTAACAGGGAGTGCTGACGGAGGCTGGTGTTGGCACAGTTCAATTTTAGTCTCCTTACAGCTCACAGAACGAGGCAGCCCACTAAATTAGGTGCTCTGATTTACTGCTGAAGGGCTTCCCAGGCAGACAATCTGGGCTCTAGCACTAGATGATGCAAATGCATCATCTTTATGCTTATATGCAGGCTTATTGATGCAAGCACATCATTTCCAGTAAATATGGAGTGTATTTTCTGTCCTACAAGCAATTGCCTCTGCTCTGAGGGCTGGAACAACTGCTTATAGAAAAAACTATCTGACTGCTGAGGATGTGCTCTGAGTTTAACCATTTACAGCAACCTGCCTGACTAATTAAACCCCCAGAATTCCAGCCAGGCTGCTTTTTTAACAGCTTTGCTTTGTTTCTGTCCAGATGAAACAGAGCTGGGAGGCAGTTTCTGCACGCTGCCCTGCGGTCCCCAAAAAGCACACGTGGAGCACGGAGGCTTTGTCCTCCCCAGCAGCACCAGGCACACGGGATGTGCTGGCTCCAAACAGAAGTGGGACACGATGGGGATCTCGGGTTTTGCACGCAATTTGGTTCTAGCTGGCACAGTCTGTAGCAGAAATCCTTTGAGGAATTAGAAGAGCAGTTCTTCCAGCTTGCGGTGCGGGAGGAGCCTTTTGTTGGTCGGGAACATCTGTGCCTTCTTATTGCATGAGAAAACCAACCATGATCTACAGTATAATTTTATTTTTATTTTTATTAGTGCTTTCTGGAAAGTGAAGGCACTCTCGGCACAGCAAGGCCTCCCAGCAGCCGAGGTCCCAGTCCCCAAGTCCCTGCCGCAGGGGACAGGCACAACCGTACCCAGTGCACGAGCCAGCTCTGCGCAGGAGAAAATCGGCCTAAACATTAACAGGCAATGGGCAAGGAGCAGGACTCGAGTCAGCTCACGAGCAGGTGGTGAGTCCAAAGCAAAATGCAAACCAGAGCTCGGGTTTATCTGGGTTTGAATCTGAGCAGTTTCTGTGGTAGGCCTCTGCCTCTCAAAGGGCTCTGCAAAGCTTTGATAAAAAGAGAAGCGGTGAGGGAGCAGCTGCTCACCTGACGGTTCTGCATCGCTGCACAAAATCATTTGAGCATTCCAGGGTTTTTTTTTGCAAACTCTGCTGGCTGTGCAAAGCACTCAGGGCAGGCATGCTCCCTCCAGCCGTGACATAAACGCCACCAGGCACAGAAGGGACACATCCACCAAGCTGAAACGAGAATGAGTTTCCAGCTCGGGCCATTTGTCTCAGATGCTGAACTTGTTCTTTTCTCTGAAAGCAGCACAGGAAGGGCTGGGTACAACTCCCCGCTGATTGCCAGCAATAAAACCTGCTCTGACGTGGGCATCTGCCTCCAGCCCTGCTCCATGTCCAGGTGCAGCGGGCACCACGCGGCCCTTCCACCGGCAGGCTGAGCAGGGACACGACCCGAGTATTTACAAATGGTCCTTTGCAATTTTAACTCTTTTTTTTTTTTTTTTTTTTTCTTTTTCAATTACAGGCTGAGGCACTGCCTACTCAAAGAAAGGAAATTCGGTTACTTCGTGCTTCCTTTCCAAAACGCATTGTGCGCATTAGGACTGCAGAGCACTGCGCGGCCGTTTCCGTAACATCCCATGCACTCAATTCCCTGGGCGAGGGCCCGGTGGCTGTGCATGGCTTTCTGCAATGCACAAGATCCTCCAAACAGAAAGCAGAAGAGGTGTCTTTTGTGCCTGGCAGGGCAGTGGTGCCATTTGGTGTGCGCTGCATCAGCCTCGGAGCTCCCCGCATATGGGAGCCACGAGGATGGAAAAAAATTCCCACTGCTTCAGCACAAGCCAGCATGCATTTGTGTACAGAAAATAAAGACAGGATAGTATAAAGGCAGCAAAAATACTGAGTTCAGGTGATCAAGATGCTTTTAAAGATTGGAATTCTGCATTCCAAACTCAAACTCTGCTTATGCCGTGCAGGAACAGTGCAGGAGGAGCACCAGCAATCATGCTGCCGTTATCCTCAGCGGGGCTGTGCCGGCCCCAAGTAGTGGCTTCTTTCTGCAGTACCCCCCTCAGCCTGTCCCCTCTGAACCTTCTGTTTCCCCAGGGACAGATACCAGAGGCTGAGGACAGACAGGCCAGAGGTGCAAAGACACGGTGGTGGAGCTGCCCCGCAACCGAGGGCAGCAGTGAAGCGCACACCAAACATGGCCTCAGCACACCCCTGCTCATCTCCCTGCCTTTTAGAGAAGCTCAGCTCAGGCTCACGTCTGAATTATTTGTTGTTTTGCCTTTCATCATCAAACTCGTGTAATTTATTGTAAGCAACAACTCTTTCAACTGCAGCATGTTTGCACTGAGCAGCAGGAAGAAACGTCCCAAGGTCTGAAAGAAACCCATAAATGTTTCTGTCTGCTCCCTAACCCTTGTGTCTCCAGGTGTGAACTCACCTCTTGCTTGTCACAAACTGTTTTGTACTGATGGAGCGAGGCTGCTGCAGAGGTAGAGCCTCACAGTTTGAAGTAAGCAGAAACTAATTTCCCTGAAAGAAAACAGAATTTGCACTGCCAAGCCTTTGCCCAGCCATTCGCGTGGTTTTGTTGCATGGTGCCACTACCTGGGTTTGGCTGCTTAGATCTTTCCCCCAGTCAAACAGATGGAAGTGCTTTCTTTTGTCTTCAAAGTGCTTTTGCTAAGAAGTAAAAGCTGGAGAGGTTGCTGGTGAGCGCTGTTTGCACTGAGCAGTGCCCGTCCCCACCTCAGATGCGGGCTCCTTTTGGTTTCGAACAAATTACATCACCCCTGCCTTTCTACACCTATAAATGGAGATCGTATTTGGGGCATTCGAATGTACAGGGCTGTTGGAAAAATTAATTCGGTAATGGTTTTAATGTGCTTTGAAGATGAAAAGCATTGCCCTACATCAGGTGGTAACTGCTCTCCGCAGGCTCTCCCCACTGTGCTTTGACTCCCTGGCACGGACGGGGTCCTGGCTCTGGGGCTGTCCGGCTGCAGCATCACCTGGTGCAACACCTGGTGCAAGTGGTGTCCCCTCTCTGAAAGCAAAATATATTGCAGGGGATTATCTTCACGTGTGTTAGAGCCCAGGAGCTCCAAATTCTGCAGCTAGAACATAAATAGGAGCAGTTAAAACTCTTCAAGCATAAAAAGAGACCACAACAAACATCAAAGTGACCAGAAGAATTCAGCTCCAGCCGGGCTTCTTTGCTATTTAATGCTAGTTGGATGACGATAAGAAGTTTGCTTTTGTTTTTATTTTTTTTATTGAAGCTCCAGTTATGCCAGTGCATTTACTCAGTATTCATTAAGCAAAACGAAAGGGCATTTTTTAAATTAGATTGCTTGTATCTACTGCTCTTTGTTAAGGTGGAAAGAAGAAGAAAAAATGTTTACAGCTAAAACAAGCCTTTCTGATAGCTACTTTTTTTTTTTTTTTTTTTCCCTTAGGGATTGCTAGCATAGAGATCAGGTAAAATTTGATTATTTTGTATGTGTGAGGTATCCCAAAAAGCCTTGACCCAGTGCTGCCCAGCCCAGAGCCACACTGCTCTCAGAGGACACCTGGTGGAAGCAGCCTCCTCCTCCCCCCAAAACCAGCTCCCCAAAACCAGCCCATCCCCAGCCCATAGGATTTCTGCTGCTCTGGGGTTGGCAGGCAGTGGGGAAGCAGAGGGGAGGTGGGGAAGAGGTGCCAGAGGTCCAGAGGGAACGCGACAAGGAGCAAAATCTGCAGAAGGCACACGATGAGTTGTGAATATTCCCAGACAGAGCAGGTAAAAGTGTGAATGCAAAGGATTCTGCATGGCCATGCTAGCCACACCTGTAAACCGAGCTTTCCACTTAAATATGGCACTTTGAGACCTTTTTTCTTCTTGTGGACACGGATGCAGACTCCAGATCTGTTTTCCAAGTAGAAATGTTGAGCCCGTGCTGTCATTACACTGCTGTACTTCAGTGCAGCCGTGCACGATGCTCGTGCAGCTCCTCAGGTGCACAAACCCAGCTCAGGCAGAGGCTTCCAAGTGCTGGCTCCAAACATCACCCACCCAACGCCGTGCTCTCCTGGGGGAGAGGCTGCTGCCTGCAGCCGGTGCGTGCAGGAGCACCGGGAGCTGCATGCACACAGCATCCCTGCTGCAGCTCTCCGCGACACCTCCGCCTTCCCTTTTTCAGCAGATCTGGGAACTAGGCGGCAGATCGCTCTCGCCGTGCTTGGATCGTTCAGATCTCAGCATTTTGGATCTCCGAGCATCCCGTTGGGCAGCACACGCCAGGGCATGGGCTAAGGCCTGGCTCAAGGCTGACGAGAGCGCTCAGCTGCAGAGGGAAGGACTCGGTGGGAGCCATCACACGCCAGCGAGCCGTGACGGGCAACGACACCCAGCCAGAACTCAGCGTTTGCATCCAGGGCAGCGCTCCCAACACTTTAATTCCATTTTTGATAAGGTGAGCAAGCAGCGGAGATCCCCCCAAGCAGGTAGGCAGCAGCAGCACGGAATCAATCACGGCAGCTCTCTCTCTGCCCTAAACCCCCGGGGCATGCTGAGGACCCCCCCGACATCCTTCCAGCACCCCATTTTTTTTGGCTCTTTCCCTCTTTTCCCTCCTGGAGGGGCTCCCCCGGGACCCCCCGGGGATGCGCGGTCGGGAGGCTCCGCTCCGCCCCGCTCCGCCCCGGGGCGGTGGCTACGGCACGGCACGGACCGGCCCCGAGCTGCGGCCCCGCTGCAAACGCGGCGTTCCCGAGCCGAGCCGGGCCGAGCCGAGCCGGGTCGAGCCGGGCCGAGCCGGTGAGTGCCGGGGGGAGCGGGCACCCCCGCTGCGGGTGGAGATGGGGGGCGGCGGCGGCTGCACCCGGGGGAGCGACCCCCGAGGTGGGGAGGGGGTATAACAAGGGGAGGGAGGGAGGGAGGGGAAAAAAGGAAAAAGGAAAAAAAATAAAAAATAAAAGGAAAGGGGGAAAACGGAGGAAAATGAAAAAAAAAAAAAAAAAAAAGAAAAAAAAAGAAAAGGAGAAAAAAAAAAAAGGAGAAAAAAAAAAAGAAAAAAGGGAAAAAAAAAGAAAAAAAAAAAAGGAAGGAAGAGGAGGAGTTTTGCTGCACCTGTGCGCGTCATCGCTGTCTAGTAAATGCTTCGGCGTGTTTATTTCACTGTGCATTCTTTCGTTGTGCCTTGTGTGTTTCATGGCACGCCGTGTATTGTGTTCTGCATTTGGCCGTGACACGAGGGACCCGCTCTGCAAGGGGCCGGGGGGGGCCGGACCCCAGCAGGCAGCGCCCCCTGAGCGGGGCCGTGCGCTGCGGTGTAGGGTGGGGGGGGTGTTTGGGGTCTAACCCGAGAAACAGCTGCTTCCTTTGGGCTTCGGGTGAGGAAGGAAATTCAGCCTTTTTTTATTATTATTTTTAATAAGCATAAATTTAGCGTTTAGCTGAAATAACGTTAAGACCAGTAAAGAGCACATCTGGAGTTTTTCTTAAGTATCATTTAAGGTATTGTCTTCTTTCAACAAGATCTGTAATCTTGTGCTCTTGTCTTTCTGCAGGTATTGTTGTTCAGGGATAGATGCTGTTTTCCTGGAGCCACAGTTCAGTTGGCTGAGGCTCCTCTGTTTTTATTTAAAAAAAATACAGGTGTGCCATGCAGCAGTAAAGCATATATAGGCTGACCCTTAAAACCTTAAAGAGAATTATGAGGTTGATGTCCAGGGAAGAGAGGGAATCCTTCCTAACTATTAGCTGATCGTCCTTTTTCCCCTGTAAGAAGCACAGGCATCTGCAGTGTGGAATTAAAGTATGGATGCAGTAATTTCCTTGAGATGCCCACGAGTTGTGTTTCAGCCGCTGCTCCTATCAGCGCAAGGCCACAGGGAAGTGGCTAAATTGATGGGGACATTTGCAGGTTAAGAATCTTTTCATTTTGCCTATTGCACTTACTCAAATAAATGTCTTGGCAGCCTTTCTCTTTTCCTATTCAGCCGATGTGTTCGTTTTCCTGGCCTGGGCTTTTTGGGGAGGCTTTATCACCCAGCTGTGGTTCTTCACTGTTCAAGTGCTAGTTCCTCGGCGCTCTCAATAGCGTGCTACGTAGCCTCACCAGCTTCTTTGGAGATGGCAGATGTAGTACCAAGAAATGAATTAGCATTTTTAAAACGACTCTCCCTCTAACCTAAGCGATGTAAATTGAAGGATGGAAGCGTTCCAATGAAGATGTGGAATTGCTGTTGTTGGTTGTTTTTTTTTTATTGGTTGGGGTTCTCTTTTTTTTTATTGATGGATAGAAAATAATTAAAGAAGCAGCAAATGGCCTCAGTGATTGAATTTGATTAAATCAGCCCTGTCAGTTTTCTGTATTTCATTATAAATAGTGAAGTGGGACCGAGGGAAGGGTTCGCTGCTTTAATGCAGCCGCATAGCATTGAGTAAGGACCTCAGTGGAGCTTCTCCTCTTGTAAGTGCTCTTGAAATCTGCTCCTGAGAGCAAACAGTGGAAGTCCAGGCACTTAACAAAGAGTGTTGTGAGCAGAGGGAAGAAGCACTTTGGTTTTTATGACCTATATGCGACAGCTGCTCTTCTGGATTGTTTCTACATGTCTCCACCGCCATTTTGCATCGTTTTTTGGTTGAAGGCATCTAGAGATGTTGTATGCAATCTCCCACAGGAATTAGTTATTAGCATAAATTGGTATTTAAGCATTTCATTTTTTAAAAAAATCAAAGAAACATTAATTTTTAAAGTAGGTTCCCTGGGCTTTTACTGGAAGCACTCAAAGCGGTAGGCGGGCTCCCTTCCAAGGCATCGGTTTCAGCGCTGTGCCGGCGGCTCTCCTGTGGGTCCTTCAGCCTCTGGTGCCTGCTACAGCCATGGCCCAAACCCCACTGCTGCAGCCCACCTGCACTGAGCCCGAGGAGAGGGCACACAGTGACTTTAGTGGCAACAGCTGGCTTTACCCCTCTTTTCTTATCGGATATACGTGCCCCGATACTGCTGTCCGTGTATGTGCAGTTTGCTCGGAGTGTTTCAAGCTGAGCTGATGGCAGCGGTGCTGACATCTGAGCAACCTCATGTGTTTCTTCAGTTAGATGAGGCCAGCACTCCAAAAATAGATTTCCATATTAATATGCTGCTGAGGGAGGAAGCTTAAACCGTGTGTTGTCTAAAAGATAACAGAGAAAGTATGTCCTGCTACGGAGCTGCTCCCAGCGTGCAGTCACCAAAAACAGGAGTCTGCTTGTTGGAGAAGTGTTAGTAACTAAAAAGCCTGGAATGCAGATAAATTCTTAAAATTTAAGACTGTGTTTTGGGCGAAATGTTGAGAAAAGATGCAGTTGCTCCCCTGTGGCTTGTAGGCATTGCAGCAGGTGGGACACGTGGAGCTGGAAGTGGTGGTGACAGCTCAGTCATCGGGCCCGGTGGAGCCCTGCACCCATCCTGCTGTCGGTGCCAAGCAGCTCACGATTGTATTTCCACCTGCAGGTGAGGAGATGGAGAGGGACGTGCACGGAACCGTGACCCCGAGCCACTGACAGCAGCCTGCTGGGGGTGAAGGCAGCTGCTCACCAGCTACGTCGTGGTGGAAGGGGAAGAGCAACTTCAATTGTCTTCAGTTTTTCCAAAAGCTCCCGTTCAGCACCAGTGCAGCGTGCAGCTGGCCTAATGAAAAGGTAAATCAGGAGAATAAGTAGTGCTGGATCCGCTCCAGGAGTAAAAGGGGTTGCTCGTGGTAAATTGAACAGTTATCCTGCGGTGAGGTGTCTTGGTTTTTGATGCGTCAGTCTGGCTGGCTGCCCTCAGCTATTGGACACGAGAATTATGTTCCGAGATAAGTACTTTTGTTTTTAATTTGTATGTAATAAAACAAAAATAAGCCCAGTTTGGCTTGGATCCCATCAGCTTGCGTAGAGCTGACCCTGCCTTTGGGTGGGGATTGCTCAGATGGCACCCCGAGGTCTCCCCCAGCCAATGTGCCCAGCTCTCTTGTTGGAAATTAATACTATCAATTTCTTGACACAGCAGGCATCTAACATACACACAAGTGGACGTTTTTAGAGATACTAAATGATGCAGCTGCCTGGCTTTTGCTTTTTAAATTATCTTGTTAATTCATGTTATTTTTTTTTTTTTTTTTTTTAAGACTTGAAAAATGGCGCCAGATGCTCCGAGAGAAGCAGGGGTATGGAGGCAAACCAGAGCTCTCTTGTTCAAGAACTGGCTTGTTAAATGTAGGACAAAGAAAAGCAGCGTTCAGGTGAGCGGGGGGCTGGCTGGCTGCTGGCTGCCTGTCTGTGGTTATTCGGCACTGAAGTGGTTCCTGAGTTGAGGGCAACACTCACTTTTATTACAATACTTCTGAAGCTTCGTGGTTTGCTCTGAGTTTTGGTTGAAATCGGCTATTTCATAAAAAATTTCATGATCCTTTGGCTGGTTATTTGTCCCAAAAATATAAGGCATTATGCGGAATATATCCTTGTATTAATAATGCAATCTCACTGCATTTTCAAAAACGTTTTCACCCTTCCTAGAGATCAGAACTGGCCAGGAAAGCAGGACTAGGCCTCTCCAGAAGATTTTTCTGTTCTAACTCTTTCACCATGTGCACAGGTGATGTGTACGAGTTTTGAGGTGAACAAGAGTCAGTCGAATGCTTGACTAATTGTTTAATGGATTGTGGGTTGTTTTGTTTCTTTCCAAAGAGCATAAGCCTGCTGATATTTGAAGCATGCAGAATTATCCCTTTGTATCATAAAATGGTTTCTCAAGTTACCAATGCATGCGATTAAAATCCTGCTTCAGTGCCAGGGAAGGATTTGGCATTGAAATCACTGTTACACTGGGGACATTCAGGGAACTTTTCGAGAACATTCAGGAAACTTTACAGTCAAGTAATTAAGCTCACAGTCTGTTGTCTAAGCTTTGTGTAACTCGGACAAATTATTGGTGATTCTTGTTTCTACGCCTGCTCTTGGAAGTTTTAATTCGTCTCTTCCTTCTTGGTGCAGGAGATCCTTTTCCCACTCTTCTTCTTGTTTTGGCTCATTCTGATGAGCATGATGCATCCGCACAGGAAGTATGGCGAGATCTCCAACACCAACCTCGGTACTCTGGACACCTCCATGCTGGTGAATTTTGTCGTCGGATACACACCGCCCACCAGAATGGCACGAGAAATCATGAGGAAGGTGGCTTTTGACAACTTCGAAGACGGTACTCGGAACTAAGCAGTTGTTTTTAGTTGTTTTTTTCTGAATATATCTCATGCTGTGGCTTGTGTTTAGAGAGGGAGCTTGCTCTTGCTGCTTGCTAATGATAAGATAAAAAGTGTTGCTTTTCCATCACAGAGAGAGAACAGACTGTGAAGGCAGTTTTTGCTTGGTTGGCAAATGTTCTGGCACTGCCTCCCGAAAGTGGTTCCCATCCTCCTGTTGCAGACAATGAGTGTTTTTTAGCTACAAAGAAAGGGTTTCAGAGGGCCCAAATGCAGGGCACAAAAAGCCCCTGAACCACCCTAGGGCTGGTTACACCTGTCTGTGCCATCCCAGTGCAAATTCAGGAGTTAATGCTCTTCTGCAGATATTTTAGGTTGAGTTTTCTACCCCGTAGCTATCAAAACAACTTTTTTTTTTTTAAGTGACAATTCCAATTAACACTCTCACCTTTTCTTTTGAAAAGTACAAATATATATGTGTATATATATATATATATATATATATATATATATATTTAAAGTGCTTTGTACAGCTGCCACATCTAGTCGGAACTGATACATCCCAAACCATTCTGATGTATTTTTAGTTTGGTATCTTTCAATCTCTTCCTGGTGGTATTCACACTTCAAAGGTACCGCTGAGAAGCCGCACAGCCTGATGCCTGTGTTTCGTTACGGGTATCCTTGTCTGCTTTCTGCCTTTGCAGTCCATCTCCCTTAAAAACTGTGGCTGTGCTTGGCATGCAGAGAGCTGCAGTTCTCTGCTGAAGTTGGTGGCAGAATACCCTCTTGTCTTGCACATAACCCTGTGTCCCAATTAATCTGCCCTTCTTGAAACACGGTGGTACCTGAGGACAAAAAAGGATTGGGGGGGAAAACTCGGGGACGTTCAAAAGTGGAATTCGTATTTTCCTTTGAATTGCCTACCCCACTACTGAGCTACAGTCTTGCAGGTTCCTGTTCAGGAAAATTCTTCCTTTACTAGGACAAAAATACAGTTCTATATATATCCCAAACCAAATAAATCATTAATGATTAGCATGGCTTTTTTTTTTTTAAATAAACAGCGTTGCACAGTTTTTCTTCCTGTTGCACCGTTACCTAAGTCAACACGATAATTTCTTCCACCTCACAGGCATCATCACGGAGGAATATTTAAGCGAAGAGGAGCTGCAGGAGGCCAGTGCTTTCAAACCCTCGAATTTTGTGGGCGTCGTGTTCAACGATGCCATGTCCTACCAGCTGAGGTTCCCCGATACAGTGGCTATGACTTCTGTGTACACGGAATCGAGAGGTAAACATGCTGCCCTTACATGTACTCCATAAGGGGATGAACTTGAAAATCAGACTTTTTTTCTGTTGGCTTGATGGTGTGTGCGTATGTCATTTTTTGGAAGTTGTTCCCACCTCTTACAAGGTGCGGCCTCAAGCTGCACCATCTTTATGTTGGGGCTGGGGCTTGCTCTTCAAAACACCTTGCTTATTCTGCAGCCAGTTGCTCCAACCTGCGGAAGGGTTGTGAATCGGTGACGTACTGGAGCTCAGGATTTACAGCTCTGCAAGCCTGCATCGATGCAGCAATTATACAGGTCAGTCCGAACAAATAAAGCAACGAAACCGCTGAGGTTCGCCTCCATGAGCTGCCAGGTTCTGGGTGGTTTTGTGACGTTGTATATTAACTGTACAATGCCATACCGAAAATCAGCTTGAATCTAATGAGCTGGCTGAATGCTTCACGTGTTTTGCCATAATTTATACAGAAATATTCTTGCCCAGCTAAATAACATCGACATTCGTCCTTGTGTCCAGATGAGCCCAATGCATCAGAGCAGGCGTTAACTGCAGGGCTCGGCGGCAGGCACCTGTGAGTGCCTCAGAGCAGTGCTGTGAAACCAGCCACAGCATTAAAACAGCTTTTCCTTTTCCTTGCAGTTGAGGACCAATCAATCTGTTTGGGAGCAGCTCGAACTGACGAGAGCAACGGTTATGGGAGAGGCGGCGGTGGTGGAAATCGACAACTTTCCTCGCGCCATCATTTTAATTTACCTAGTAATTGCTTTCTCGCCATTTGGATATTATTTGGCAATTCATATTGTGGCAGAAAAGGAGAGGAAGCTAAAGGAATTCTTAAAAATATTGGGACTTCACGATGCTGCTTTTTGGTATGTGAGTGTTTGATATAGCCCATTCTTTAGAGAAGAATTATAAAAAAATAACACTTTACAGTAAAGCTCTGCTATCCTATCCTCAGTTTACCAATTATATTCACTTAATTAAATTAATATTGCAGCAGCCTAAAGGTGAGGTGCTCTGCAAAGTCTAACATAGAGATATGGTATCATAAAAACAGGAATGTTTCAGTCAATAAATACCAGAGTAATGCTGCTGCATTTATCCATACCAAGTAGTGCCAGATTCGGAGGGATTAAAGGAGTTGCAGCGTGGTGTTTTTGTGTAGTTTGCTTTTATCGTTGTCAGCACTTTGGCTCAGTAACTCCTCTCCTGGAGGATCAACAGGTAACACGCAGTCTTTCTTCAGAGCCTATCAGCAGCATTTCCCCAACACATAATTAAGCCAATCTAACTCTATAATTTTAACGTGCCACGAAGAGCAGTCTAAACAACAAGTTTTAATTTGCTTTCTTACTGTGAGGAAAATTGTCCTACGCAGCACAAAGCAGTTGGCTTTGTGTGTTTTTTTTTTCCAAATAAGAGGATGCACTAATTCAAACACATTGATAATTGTAGTGATAAAAAGGGGTTCGCTTTCTGCTTCCTGCAGTTGCCCAGAGTGGTTTAGCATTGTGCCCTGCTGCACCGTAACAGCCAGCTGCGGCTGTCTTTTTTTTCCTCCTGGTTGTTTTCATTGTGTTTCTGTACCAGAGCCCTTTCCTGATGTTCGGTTCTGTTTTTCTGCGGTGCCTCCTTGGTGACAAACCTCATTTCCCACGGGTCTGATCCCTTGTGGCCGTGCTGGTCGGCCGCGGTAGCAGGCTGCACGTGTCCCTCTTGAGCATTGCAGATGTTGAGAAAATTGTTCTACCTTTCTGCTTCAGGGACTCCCCGGGTGAAATGGGTGTGATCTGGTAATGCAGCTTCTGCACTAGAAAAAAAAAAATCAGAAGCATGTTTTGGAGGAAATGCGTTATTTTTACTACCTGCGTACAAACTGCATCTGTTTGCTGAGGCCAGAGTTGCTCACAGTCTTGCAACACCGCTGTCAAAAAGGGAAGGATTTTATTACCTGGCGCAGCTACCGGAATGACTAGTGTGTTAAATTTTAAATAGAATTTCTTTAATTATTGAAACCTACTGCTCAGTTACCCTCTTCTGGTTAAACTGGGAAATTAATTATGCAAGTTCAAAAAAAAAATAAATAACTAGAAATCATGAATTGTGTAATTGTTCATCTTTTGGAAGCAGCGGGTGCTGATGTCTGTGCCCTGATGCTCAGAACAGTCTCAGGGACGTTTACAAGAGCCCTTTTCATTTAGGGGCTCTTGTTTTCTCGCAAGCCTGGCCTGTGGTGCAGCTGCCCGGAATGTGAAAGAATTGTAGTTCTAGCTGGTTTTGCATGTGAGTAGTTCAGGATGTGAATTCATTCACAGCTTTCTGTTCCTTTTTTTCCCCTTTTGCTTGTAGGCTTTCTTGGGTGCTTCTGTACACGAGCCTGATCTTCGTTATGTCCATTCTCATGGCGGTGATTGCGACGGCCTCCTCGCTCTTTCCCCAGAGCAGCGCCTTTGTGATATTTCTCCTTTTTTTCCTGTATGGCATCTCTTCAGTAAGTATGCCTCGGCCATCCCATCCACAGGTTTTATCCCCTCTGATCTTGTTCTCTCTACTAAACAGTCTGGAACAAACGTCACTTCCTTAGGGCAAGTGTAATGTTAAAGCCCTAGTTAATAAGGAATTAATTTACACAACAAATTGCATGTGTGAGTTCATAAACAAATATTTTTGCATTGGTTGCTTATGATCTGTCACTTAAAAAAAAAAAAAGGGTTGGGGTTACTAACTGGAATGTACACACACACTCAGCACTGTGGCTTCTTATTTCTATTACTTCAGTTTCTTTTGTGTGCCATCACCTGGCATCTTTGGGAAATCTGTTGCTCATGGTGGTCTGTTTTTAAAGGAACTTGGGTTCATGTTGTAGTGACTGTACCAGGAAAATTATTTGATTAGCAGAAGCTATAGTCTTTCTAATTTTATTTTCTATACCTTGTATTAACATTTTTTAATATATTGCTTCTTTCTTTTTTAATCTGTTCTTAGGTATTCTTTGCACTTATGTTGACACCTCTATTTAAAAAGTCAAAGCACGTGGGTATAGTTGAGTTTTTGGCCACCCTGGCTTTTGGATTTGTGGGCCTGAATATCGTCCTGCTGGAAGATTTCCCCAAGTCTTTTGTGTGGGTTCTCAGCCCCCTGTGCCAGTGCAGCTTCTTGATTGGTGTTGCACAGGTAAAGAACCTTCTGCTTGGACTGCAGCTTCGTAGCAGTCATTTGTCTTACAACATTTCCGATAGGTAGTCATAGAGATATTCTTAAATAGTTTGATTTATTTATTTATTTAATAAGCAGATGGTGGGGAAAAATGCATGTCTTAATAGCTTCCCATGGCAATTCTAATATCAAGTAAAATCCAGTGCACCATCAAGCAACTTTATGTTGTTGCTGTGATCTTGGTCACTTTTTGACTATTTTTTTTTCTGTTGCTACATTCTGTACCCTTCTTGTCATGCCTTGCCAAGCTGGTACGATGTGGGTGTGTAACATCTCGGTCCATGCATGTTTGTTGGCAGGTCATGCATCTGGAAGATTATGAAGATGGTGCAACATTTTCAAATCTAAGTCATGGTCCTTACCCACTCTTTATCTCACTTATCTTACTGGTGCTGGATAGCATATTTTATCTGCTTGTAGCTGTCTACCTTGATCAGGTCATTCCAGGTATGTTAATGAGAGAAATCGAACTGAACTGTGCTAATGTCATGAATTCCCAAAGTACTGAGCCCTCTTGTTGAAATCTCTGGTGGAGCTGGGTGGCATTTCTGAACTCCTGGGTCCTTTCCTCCTGCCCGCTGGGTTCTGCAGTGTTGGCATGCAGTGTTTGGCTTGATTCTAGCTGGGGAGAAAGGAGATGGTGCTGTTCTTTGCAAGTAAAGTTTAAACAGTGACTCGGGATACTTTTAGCTGAAATAAGTTATATTCTGTGAAAGCTGGGATATGGGAGGAAGGAGTATTAGCATGTTTAGAATTGATGGTCTTTACGTATGTCAGCTAAACCTTGTCTCCATCTTTCTAAAACCTTCCTTACTAGGCTAGCTTGGGTCTCAGCTTATGCAATTTGTTCTTACGGGATAAAAAAAAGTAAAGACCACTTTGCCTGTTCCAGACCTTTCCTTGTGACAGCTGTAATTGAACATGAAACGTAGAATGAAGTTGTTCCTCATGTGACTAATGCCTGTGTTAAGCCCTTCCACTGCCTTTGCCTGTGATCTCCATGGATTTCTAGTGCATGTAGTTACCGTACCTTCAGCACTGGAGATTTTTCTCAGATAAAAAGAGATTTGCACATCTATTTAAATACTTAACAAATCCAGGACCTGCTAGCAGCACTGATGGAAACCATGGCTTACATACAGATAATGTAAACTTGGCTGGTGAAGCCCCTCCAGAATTTGGATGTGGGCTGGCTCCTAAACTTTGAGCAGGATAGCTCATAGCTTTTATAGCCAAATCCCAAAAGCTGCAGCATATTTACAGTTAAGAAGTTTTCTTTTTTCCTGTATTACCTAGGGGAGTTTGGACTACGCCGATCATCATTTTTCTTTATGAAGCCCTCGTTCTGGTCAAAGCACAGAAAAAATTACAAGGAACTGTACGAGAGCAGCATCAATGGCAATTTAAATTGCAGTGAGATGGTTGAACCTGTGCCTTCCGAATTTCAGGGAAAGGAAGCCATCAGGTATGATTCCTGCCTGGCCCCATGTGCAGTTTAGCAGATCACCTGAGTCTCCAATGTTTCATTTGTAATTTGGAAACTACTTCTGTTCCTCTAATCTGCTGATTCAAATAGCACATGGTATGCATTGCGGAGAGTTCTCCGCACACGCAGCACAGCGTGTTTCCATATTCAGTGAAGCCCCACCATCAGCTACATGGATGCTCTCCAAGGGTAAATCACTGGGCTTAAAGAAAGGGTTTGTTTGTGTATTGTATTCCTTCAGCTGGAGTCCTCTCAAAAACGGCCGGTTTTCCATTCCTTCAGCCTCACTGAGGCCGCGAGAGGCGTAAGTGATTGCAGATGCTGAAACGCCTACTCTGCTGGGAGAGTTTATTTTCTGGTAATGCACATTTGAGGAGAGAGAGCTGAATTCTGGGTTTCTGCGAAGGCTGTTATGTTCTCCATAGACAAGAGGGGAACTTCATGGTGGTTTTACCTAGCAGTCATAGGCAAGAGGGTAAAACAAAACTGAAAAATATATGTGATTGGTCTCATAATTCACTCTTCATTTCGCTTTGCCTGTTGTCTTGCACCCGGACTGTCTTGTGTTTTTAGTGTTTCTTAGATATTGTTTTGAGAATCTTTCCTTTAGTTTTTGTTTTCATCACTGTCCAAACGCGTAGCCTCATGTGAGCTGAGAAACTCTGTTTTCACTCCTCTTTTATGGCTTCACTAGTCTCAAATGAGTTTTTGAGCTTAGTGACCAGAATGAGTGTTGTGCTGTCTGTGCTCTCCATGTCTCTTTGGGTGTCTGCCATAGGTTGAAGTTTTAATGGAAATGTTCATGAGGATGCTGTAGGTATTTTTTGCCTTATTCATCTTTCCTGAACTCTTTCCATAGTGTGTCTCCACCAGCTTGCCATCATTCTGCCATTGTCTTTGAACATACAGGTTTTGCTGTCTTTCATACCCCGTTCCTCATCCCATTCTTCATACTTCTAATTTCCTCTCTGACCTCATTTGCAAGGTGGTCAGGCTTCCAAAACCCATCCTTTACATTGTGCCTTCAGGTAAACTGGTGGTTGGTTTTGGTGGTGTTGCTTTTTTGTTGTGAAATGCAGTAGGGCTGGAAGGAAGGCTTTTACCTCTCAGAGAGAAAATACCTGCTTTCTTTTGCTTAATTTTGATGGAGAACTGCCAGTAATCATGTCTTCGGAGTCTTGTTGTACTAATATGTCCTTTTCCACATTGTGTCTGTTGAATCTTCTGTCAGATTGTGAATTTACTGGGGAGTAGCCGTGCCCTTCTCTAACTTGGGAAGACTCTAGTGCATTATTCTACTGTGTGAAAGAAACACAGACGTGAAATAATTCATCCTGTCATCATAGGAAATGCCTAAGAAGGCAACAAGAAAAGGTTTTCTGATACCAGGGTGGAGATGATTAAGTTCTGTGACAGAATGTCCTGTCTCTTGCATTGCCTCTATGGCTCGTAGATGTGTTTTGTGCCACTTTAGCACAGTCATCTTGCTGTGACTGTTGCTGTGTGTTGAACGTTCAAAATGACATATAAAGATCCTAAAATAGCTTATAAAATGACATATCTTCTTTCAGAATCAGCTGTGTTCAGAAAACATTCAGGAAAAAGGGGGAAACTGTGGAGGCTCTCAGAAGTAAGAACATTTTAGCTTTTAAGCTGCTTATCAGATGCAGAGGAGCAGTAGCTGGATTGTTGAGTGATCTTTTTGTGTTTCAGTTTGGGCTTTTGGGTTTCTTTTACCGGGGTGGGACTTGAAGCGTGAATGCCAGATGTGCTTGTGTGCGCCTTCTCTCACCGCTTTGGCAATGATCTCCTCTAAACCAGTGCCCCAGTAGAGGAGCCCTTCCCTCACTAAAGAAAGCCTGATGACACCGTCTCAGTCACTTCTCCTCCTCCCCTGTCATCAGGAGGCACAACCTGCCTGCCCCATCTCCCCAGCCCTCACCTTGCCCCATGGCACGAAGCCCCGTGCCGCTCATGGCCATGGCCACCCCACTGGTAGGCCGCAACATGACATGGAGGCTGGGCCTTCCTCCTAGCAGAACGCGAGGCTTACCCCATATGTCATTTTTTGATTTCATCTCTCTGGTATAAACCCACTCAGGGTGCCACAAGCACATCACCAACCTCTCCTCTCTCTCCTGTCCACCTTGTTGGGTAGACTTGTCCTTCGACATCTATGAAGGCCAGATCACAGCGCTGCTCGGGCACAGCGGGACCGGGAAGACGACGCTGATGAACATCCTCTGTGGGCTGTGTCCACCGACAGATGGTGAGACTTCCCACTGCCAGGAGCTTTGGCCACCCTGGTTTTGAAAACCGTCATCCCTTCTGATTATCTCAAGATGCACCAATTTTTTCTCTGGATAATATCTGAAAGAGTCCGCCTGAATTTCGTGCCCCTCTTTAACTACCCAGGCCAGCCTGCTTACTGGCTGCCTGTAAAAAAAAAGAAGAAAAAAAAAATTAAGTTGATTGTTTTGGGCTTTTTTCAGGGTTTGTCTCTGTCTATGGTCACCGAGTCTCTGAAATTGATGAAATGCTTGAAGTGCGGCGAATAGCAGGCGTGTGCCCTCAGTCTGATATCCACTTTGACATATTAACCGTGGAGGAGAATCTCTCCCTGTTTGCTGCAATTAAGGGAATACCTCAGAATGACTTGATACAAGAGGTAAGTTGCTTGGACACAAGTCCAGTCTTATATGTTCATTTTTAACCTACACAGCACTATAACCCTACGTGGCCCAGATGCTTACTGAAGGCAGGTGTGGAGGGGAATATTACTTTACAGTACAGCAGACAGAGGCAGAGTACAGGCAGACATTTTCGCAAGGATTAACTATTAGTTTTTTCCTAGGAAACTAAAATGCATATGAAACGTTTAAATTTAACATTAATTTGAATGCTAAAAATTGCAATCTGGTTTAAAAAATAGCTTTTTTTTTATAATAAATCTGTTTCTTATGTTTGAAGGTTCAGAAGGTGTTGTTGGATCTGGATATGCAGCCTATCAAAGACAATCAAGCTAAGAAGTTAAGTGGGGGGCAGAAGAGGCGGCTGTCGGTTGGAGTTGCTGTCCTTGGGAACCCAAAGGTGAGGGTGACAGAAGCGCTCCCAGCTTTGTGTTACTAACACACCTAAGTGATGATGTTTCTTGACAAAACCAATTAATGCATTTAAAATTTAAGATGCATAAATTGATACTGTGCACAACTGTTACTTTTTTTTTCCCCCTTATTTTAGTTTTAAACAATTTAGTCCAACCTCCATGCTTGAAGGTGTTAATTCCTTAGGTGATGGTAGTATCTGTGGATTTGATGTCTTTATGAAATAAAGAACTGAGAAGCTTTATATTGTTCCTGGCAGGTAATATTTAGCCCCTAATAGTGAATCTGAGCAAGACTTTCCTTGCAAGCAGCGTGAGCCCTTGGCTTGGGAGCAGAGCCACAGAGCTCTCTTGTGTTACAGATCTGTTATTTCTGCCCTGTAGGAACTGGGGCTGCTTTTAGATAGGCATTAAAAAAGGATACATCTGACAGTTCACTGGGATTTTAAAAGCATATATTTAAGCATTCCTCAATAGACAGAGTCAATGCATAGCTAAATGTAATTGCACTTGAAATAGAATAAAACAGATTATGGCATTAACTTACCGAATGATTTTTCCATTTGTCACAACAGGAGATGTGTTTATTCAAAACGAAGGGAAGACAGGATGTCTCCTGTGTTTTGAGCAAATAACTAGCAGGCTTCAAACCAAAAACCTGTGTGTGTCATTTAGATAGGATTTCTGAGGCCGCACCTTGCACATGGATATGACTTTACAAATGCTTCTACTTTTGCTCAAAGGTTTTGCTGCTGGATGAGCCGACTGCAGGCATGGATCCGTGTTCGCGTCACATTGTCTGGAACCTCCTGAAAAACAGAAAACCGAATCGCGTGACGGTTTTCAGCACTCACTTCATGGACGAGGCAGATATCCTTGCTGGTGAGCCCTGCTGTGGCCCTGTCCACAAATGACAGTTGTGTTACTGAGCATCAGGTGGTGCTTCTGCAGCCAGGGAGGCATCGTTACGTGAAGGGCTTACCTGGGTTCTGGAGCCTGTTGGCAGTCCTCTTGCTCAAAAGGCCTTCGTGATTTTTTGTTTCCAGATCGTAAAGCTGTGATTTCTCAAGGGATGTTAAAATGCCTTGGATCTTCGCTCTTTCTGAAAACCAAATGGGGAATTGGCTACCGCTTGAGGTATTCTTTATGTGTGACTTCATCTATCTGTGTTTTCTTTGTAAATCAGTAAGACCCCCACCCTAAGAAGGACCCTTTTATTATCTTCTGATTGCTTGGTGCTTTGCAGGCTAATATTTCTGATCCGGGCATCAGGACAAAAGCTGCCTTTATAAAACCAGTTTCTTGTTGTGTTTCTTGATAGCATGCACATCGATGCCTATTGCAACACAGAAGCTACAACCTCGCTGATCAGACAGCACGTACCCACAGCCAGCCTGCTCCAAGAGACCGACCAGCAGCTCGTGTACACCCTGCCGCTCAAGGACATGGACAAATTTGCAGGTATTGGTGTAGGGTGGGATGGCCATCAAAGGGAAATCCATCAAGCGTGGCTGTAGCCGGCAGTACTTGTCAAACTGTCATTTCTGCATTTGTGCATTTACACAAGCTTTTGGGGGGGCTATGGTTTGGCTCAAGATCAGTCAGTGAGGTCTTTGCTTTAGCTCTCATCAGTTTCTCAGGCGGGCGAAGACTTCATTGCGTTCCTCAAGGGGCTGTGGTGCAGATGCTGGTGAGATGCCTGTAGCAGAAACGTGAAAAGACCCTGTTGTCCAAGAGTCCTGTTGTCTGGCACAAGCATCTTCTTACTGCAGAACATTTCAGTGACCAGGGCTGGCCTCCAGCAGGAAGCCAATAAGTCCTACAATAATCCCCCTTGTTGTGAGCCACAAAGAGCATTGTGGCCCTGCATTGAAATTCACTGTTGAGAGAGAGAGTGTGGAACAAATGTGTTAGTTTCACTAGATGGCAGCAATTATCTGATTTTAATTGTACACAGCACTCCTTGTTTGTTTCCCGGAAGAAAATGGAAGAAACAGTGTGTCCTTTTCACTGTTGGAAAAGCTAAGGGGAAATCAATATGGATGTGATTGCAGCTCACATTTCATAAATGCCCTTTTCCCATTACATTTAACTAGTAAATAATTTATTAGCTTTACCTTTAGCAGCCACTGTTCGTACTTTTCAAAAAGAAACATCTTTATGCAAGACTGATTCAGTTCCCCCAAACTGTTTTAAGGAGAAGTCAAGGCTAGGATGTGCCTCAGCAATGGAGGCAGGAGCAACTGGGGAGACCTGGCGAGTGTTGTTGGGTGTCCAGCAACTCTTCCCATTTTATGAGTCTCTGTTTTCCTTCAGTGAGGTATTGGCTCTGAAGTTCATCATTTTGTCAAATGCTTCGCTTCACAGGACTGGCAAGTGGTTTTTGCCCTGAGGCATTAATAAGTGCTCTCTCTGTGAACATAATTTTGATCTCCAAGCTATGCATGTCATCCAGGATCCCCTGCCTAATTAAGCTGGCTTTACAGAACTGGGTGACTTTTTTTTTTTTTTTTTTGAATGTGCAATTATTCAGTTGTTTGGGTTTTTTTTTTGGTAAAATCTCTTTGTACCTGAGCACAGATCTAGGTGGGATGAGCTCTCCTGCTGTGCTGTGCCCATGAGAAGGGGCTCTTGGAGCCAGCCAGGAGGCAGTGCTGAACTCAAGAGAATGCTGATGTGGTTTTCTTACACCACACGCCCCGTTTTCTGTGCCTGACCACATAGGATGAGAAGTGTTGTGCTAAAATGAGCCTATCCTCACCTTGGTTGTCATGCCATGACCTGTGTCTTCAAGATGAAGTAGCCACGTCTACACGCTATGGTCTTGAAGGCCTTAGGGATGCAGAGCGCTTCTGGCTTGCTTGAAGATCTCTCGGGAGGACGATGTTATCCTGTCCCAGAGCAACCAGTGTGCTTCACTTCTGTCTGCAGGCTTGTTTTCTGACCTCGACACCCACTCCCATTTGGGCGTTATTACTTACGGTGTTTCCATGACGACTCTGGAGGATGTCTACCTGAAGCTGGAAGTTGAGGCAGAAATCGATCAAGCAGGTGGGACGGCCCATGGTGTTTTCCTGTTCTCCCTTGTATGTGGTTTAGTACGAGGTAGTGTAGATGTTGCTGTGCTGCGTCGCTGCTAGGAGGCTTGCTATGGAGGTAAGAATTAAAAACGCCTCGCAGAGCGCTGTGTCTGGTGGCACAGGGCACCTCAGGCCTTGCGTTATCCCAGGTTTTTGAAATATTTATCAGGAAAAACACACACAAGCTGTGAGCTGGGTGGAGAGAAATTCTGGGAGGATGAAGAGAAAAGGCTTTTTGGTGCTGTCTCTGCAACGATTTAATTTTCATACAGTGTACCTACATCTCACTTCTTTGCTTCACAGCTGCACTTCTTATGTCTATCTTTTTATAATGTGCTCTATTTACCTCATGGAGCTTACTTTGAAGAAATTCATGATATAAAATTCAGTTCCAGCCTTCTAGGTGAGCAGTAATATTGGTAGCCTGCACGTAAGGCTGAAGCTGAGCTTGTCTTTCTCCCCTTCCTTTAAATTTCATCCAGATGAAAAGCTGGGACCGCCGACTGTTACTGCAGAGCTGATCAGATCTTCTGATGTCGGCTGTGAAGGGCTGAAGCTGCCTTTATCTTTTTAGAGCTTTTTGCAATGCAGAGTAGTAAACTATCCACACTGCAAAGTTTTTGAGTGGGTGTAAGGGGCTTTAACAGCTGAGTGTGCTGATGCTGAGTAATGCAGGTATGTGCCTGGGCTGATGTAGTGGAGCTGGGGCAAGTCTGCACCGTCTGAGTGTTTGTAGGCTATCAGTTTTGTTCTCCCCGGGGCAGAAATCTGTATCATCTGCCTTCAGTGTCTGATCTGTGTGCTTTGGGGTATATTAGTATCATGGGCCTTGGGGCTAAATTGAGAGCCCAGGGTGGGACAAGGTGGTTTCTCAATAGCAGTGGCCAAGAATTGACTTCAGCAAAGCTTCCTCCAGACCTACGATCTCAAACCATGTAGCCCTGTCAGAGCAGCCCAATCCATACCCTTTTACTCTCTTCTGTTCCAGATTACAGCGTGTTTAATTCCCAGCAAGTGCAGGAGGAGGCAGACACGAAGTCACTTGATGACATGGAGCAGAGCCTCCTGATGCTCTCAGAGACCAGGTCGCCCCCGATGAGCCACGCAGCCCTGTGGAAGAAGCAGGTTTCCACCATAGCAAAAGTTCACTTCCTTAGTCTCAGGCGAGAAAATAAATGTGTCAGAGTGATGTAAGTATTGAGGCTTTCTGTTCTGTATATAAAAATCACAAAACCTGTTTGAATGACACCAGAGAAGAGGCAGGATGCAATTTAATTATTGTTTGTAGTTACATTTAAACATAACCAAGCGGGAGCCTATTCATTGCTGTTGAATAGATGCATTTTGGGGTGAGGGAGATGTTTTAATTGACGTGCACATAAACTGGGCCGGCATTTGCTGAATTTTAATAAAACCAAACCTTTTTTTTTCTTTCAGGTTGTTGCTTTTTCTGATTTTCCTTGTCGTTCAGATCTTGTTGTTTCTCACGCACCACTACATCAAAAATTCAATAGCTCCTGTCAGACTCTCCCCGGATTTGTACTTGCTGAAGCCTGGGGAGGAATATCACAAGTACAGGAGTCGGCTGCTGCTGCAGAACTCCACAGGTAGGGGAGGGAAGGGGCTCTGCAGGGCTGGCTGCTGGCTGCTGCATCCCCTGGGGTGGGGAAGGGAAGGTGCAGGATGGGGGGAAAGTTGGTGGGTGCAACCTTCTGGGTTCAAAACAACTTTCCTTGAAGTGAATCCAAATCAAGCATTTGCAAGTGGCCAGACACGGTAGAGAGTGAGAATCCTCTGTGTTGTGTGGTTCACTTCAGAGATCTCCCTCCTCCTGTGTGTGGTGGTGCTGTGCTCCCTACACAAAGATGATCCGTGTGAAGGAGCTGGGCACAGAGACACTTGGAGACATCGGCATTAAAATCCTGCTACAAAGCGCTTTGTAAAATTCCTTTCTGTTTCAAATGGAGATGTTTTAAAAGTGGCTAGCAGCAATCTGGGCAGTAGAAATAAACATCTTTTTGAGCTCTCGGGAATTTGTACATAATACGCTTTCAGTCCTCCAGATACTGCATCAAAGCGCCTCTGATTTCTGTCTGTTAGCTAATTGTCTGTGCAGCTGAAACGCTGGGTAACCTGATGATGCTCCTTGGCACCTCTGCTTCCAACTGTTGCATTTGGCCTGTGCGACTTCATTGTATAAAATAACCGAGTGTTTCCTGAGCTCTGGGGAGGCTGCGGAGGGGGAAGCAGAGACAAAAACATCTGCGGTGCTCAGAACAGCAGAGGACTCTCTTTAGCGGGCACGTGTAATGAAAGGGTGGTCGCTATCATATGGTTAGATCAGGGAGAAGACTGCAGCACTGCTGACTTGAAAACACATCAATAATTTTGTGTAAAACACTGCAAGCTGGTGATGTCTTTTTCTGTCTCTTACCAGACTCGGATATTGATGACATTGTCCACTCTCTCGGGAGCCTGAACGTCCTGGTGGAGATGTTCAATGACAGTGACTACGTTTCAGCTGCACCTCACAGTGCAGGTTTAAATGTTTTCGACCTTGAATCCAGACAGGTGAGACAGACAAACAGACAGACCTGCTCGGTCATATCCCAGAGCAGCTGGCCAGGGGCTGGTTTTGTTGCTCTGTCCTGAAAGGCAGGCTCGGGGTGAGCCTGATGAGGTTGATGCTGATTGTTCACTTGAGGTGATAGGGTTGAAATTTCATCTCTGCTGTTTGCGTGAACATTTGGGGACCACTCTGTGTATTGAGGCTCTGGGTTGTTTTCAATAAGGAGATCAAATTTTTAAACGTCCAAAGTATTGAATTATATAATCAAATAATGTCATATAATATTGCTTATGCAAGAGGCCTGCAAAGAGGACTTGTAGAGGACTGGAAATATGCTCAAAATAAATTCATTCTTTCATAATGATAATTATGGTAGGTTAATAAAACTTCCATTCCTCTTCTTTCCCCACAAACACACAAAAAGCCAAGAGAAATATTTTACTTCACAAGAGACCTGGCATATGAACTTATTCCTTACTTGCACTGGCTGAATTACACAATTTGACAGAAGTATAATTCCATGGTGCTCTCATGTGTAAAGAAAAATGAGTATCTTGGACTGGAATTATTCATTTCACAATGGTCACTGAAGGAGTGTCAGGATGATTTGAATATCAGGGTTGTATTTAATTTCCAACAAAGGAAATGCTTTGCAGTATGCCAGCTCTATCTCTTGTTCCCTTTTTTTTTGTTGTTGTTGCAACTACTAATAGCAGTGTGACAGTGCAGTCCTTAGCTAACATAAATTTTTGTCTGTTTTTGAAATGCATTAGCAAGAACTTATGAGTGCAGATCCTTGTGTATTTTGTTTTTCAGGCTGTAATTGGCTGGAGCATCATTTGTCAGAGTGTAACAGTTGCATAAAACATTTGGAGGATTTATTCCAAATAATTTGTTCTCTATGAGCATGACTGTATTATTGAATTAGGTTTTGTGTTCTAACCACTCTGAGCAGCACAGAGCTTCCTGCGAAGCATCCTCTGTCATGCAGAGATTTTTTTTTATCATTGTTCAGGTTTAATTAAGCCCACAGGAGAGCCCTTTCAGGGCGTTACCCTTCAGGCAGACTAATTAATGTACCAAATACTTCTCTTTCCAGAACTATGTTTTCACAATCGTATTCAACAGTACCATGGTGCATGCCGTGCCAGTTTTGATGAATATTGTCAGCAACCTACTGCTGCGCACTCTGAACGTAAGCGAGAGCATTCAGATCTGGAGCAACCCCTTCATCCAGGTGAGCAGGGCTGGGGACAGCTCGCAGCAGGCAGCAGAGCTGGTGCTGAGGTGGGCTCAAGAACTCATGCTTTTGCACTCCCAGTCGTGTTCCAATCATAAGTGCATTTTTTTCCCCACACACGTTCTATTATTGAAGAAATCTGATGTATATTTCAGGATCTTCCAGATACTGTTTTCAAACTGGAGATCTATTTCGAAGCTGTGCTGCTGGGAATCATTGTCACGGGCATGCCACCCTATTTTGCCATGGAGAATGCAGAAAACCATAAGGTAAACTTCTGGGTGTGGATTTGTAGGCACACAAGATCTTAAAAATCTTGGGATTTTTTGGAAAGATCTTCGGAGGTGTTTTAAGTAGTATCCTTTGCCTTGCGAGGCACAGGGCAGCCAGAGCAGAGCAGGAGCGACTCCGGTGTTGGTGGCATTGGGTAGAGCAGGTTTCAGAAAAGCCCTTTGGCTTTCCGTGGAAATGTTACGTGCTTTGGCAGCTAGGATCAGCAACAAGTGGGCGATGTGCTTCTACATGTATACAATGTCCATGTAAAAGTGGTGAGTCATATCAAGAAATGAGAGCCCACCCATGTACCAATACAGATGACCATCGTGGGCATTTTCTTTTCCTGTTGCAGATCAAAGCATACACGCAGCTGAAAATCGCAGGGCTTTATCCATCTGCTTACTGGGTGGGCCAAGCTGTCGTTGACCTCCCGCTGTTCTTCTCCATCCTCGTCCTGATGATAGGCAGTCTCTTTGCCTTCCACTATGGCATCTATTTCTACGTCGGCAAGTTCATGGCTGTGGTGAGTGTGGTGGGGACCTGAGGACACACAGGGGTGCAGGGGCTTGGTTCTGTTATTTTCCACAAGCATTTATTTTTATTAGATGGTTCAGCAGGGTTTTCCAGAACAATCAAGCATTTATTTTTATTAGATGGTTCAGCAGGGTTTTCCAGAACAATCTATACAGAAAATGCCTGATCAGGGTTCCTGGTGCAGAGGCACCAGCCTGAATGTACCAAAGGCAAAACCTCTTCTTCCCCTGAGGGGGGAGGGGGGAAGTATTTAGGGTTTAACTGAGAACCAGATTAAAACAGAGCTTTAAATTACCAGAACCTTCCAAGGAAGTGCATCGTCATTCTTTGCTCAATTTGCTCTGCGCTGTTGCTGCCATTTGATAATTGCGCCGCTTGCATCGGCACTCTGCTAATGACAAGGTTGCGGTGACTTTGAACACAGACCAGCTCCGCAATGAATTGCAGCATATGCATAAACGAAGGAGGCTACAAGCCATCATATCTTTTATAGTTGGAGCTGGCTTTTCTGAAATCCTAGCTGTAATTGAGAAGAATCGGATTTTCCCAGTTTCTTTCCCAGAATTGGTAGCTCTGCGCTAATCAGGTTTGGGGTGTGACCGTTGTGCTGCAGGGCTGATCTGTTACTGGTGCATCCATCCCTTGTTCTGATTGTTGCAAAAATGCTAACGTTGATGGAGGGCTTGGTAATATTTCTTAAAATCATCAGGTTGATATTTATGGAAGCCTGTGTTTTTTGTGTTAAATAAAAGCAAGAGGAAATACAGCAAACATGGAACTACATTCAAGGGCGTTCCTACCTATGCATCTATTTCTGTATTTAATGACACGTGCTGTACCCAGAATCATGTACAACCCTAAAATAACATCAGCTGATAAACATACAAAAAAAAAAAAAATGGGTTCATACTGCACGCTTCCTGAGAAACCTTTCTTGTCTCTGCAGCTTTTTTGCCTGATCGGCTACGTCCCGTCAGTCGTGCTGTTCACTTACGTCGTCTCATTCACATTTAAAAAAGTCCAAAATACAAAAGAATTTTGGTCATTTATATTCTCAGTGGTGAGTAACTTTCCCTCAGCTTTGGTTAACTGGGAGGCCTGGTTCTCTCCAAAGCCACGCCAGCCTTTCCAGCCTGGTCATTTCACTGTGTCCTTACTGCACAAGAAATCGAACATTTACCAATGTTTCTTTATTACTGACATATACTAAATGACAAAAGCTTTAGAAATATGCCTCACATTAAGTAACGTACACTTTTAGAGCCAGAATTGAATGAAAATGGAATTTTTTTTCTTTGTTTTGTATAGGCAGCTTTGCTGTGTACGGTTGTCACCGAAGTGGCCTTTTTTCTGGATTTTTACACAGTGACCACCACCCTGCATTATGTCTTCTCCATCTTCATTCCCATCTATTCCCTTATCGGCTGTCTGATCTGTTTCATAAAGGTAAGGACACAAAGCAGATGCTCTCCAGAGTGCTTACAAATGGCTGGAATCGGGTGGGCACCTTTAAAGACGTGACTGGGACCTGCATAGTGCCATCAGTAGCCAGTTAATGCGTGAAGAAGGGCAGCTGCTGGCAAAAAGTCACCTTTTTCCTGCGAGCAGAATGTTGCAGGTTTAACATGAGGAAAGACACAAGTCTACCATTAAATATTGAAAGGATAAAAAAAAAAAAAGGATAAAAAAAACCATGTGCTCCTCAGCCTGTGGGGCTGGGCTGGTTTGGCACATTGATTGGGATCTGCACAGAGCTCGCAGGGTAAAGCACAATGCAGAATACATGGTCTCTGGTAGGTAATTATTTACTTAAACAGGGTTTTTGTTGCATTGTTAGGTCTCGTGGACAGACAAACAGAAGAATGGAGAATACCATGACCCATGGGACAGGCTCCTGGTGGCAGTTATAGCAGTAAGCATCATTATTTGCCATAGAGAATTGGTAACTCCAGCTGGCAGACCCCTTTTTTTGGGCATCTGCATTAGTAAAAAATTGATTTAATGCTCAGCATCTGTGGGGTCTGCTGCTTTGCAGGCTATTGCAGCAGAACAGTATCAGTAAAACTTGCTGTACTTACCAACTCAATATCTCCTGCTTCAGTAGAGTTACTAACAGTGCTGTTATTAATTCTGATTATTATGGGAGTCCATACCGATGGAGGACGAACTCCAGAGCAGGGGACAGTCTGTCTCTCTCCTAGAAGCCAAGCAATTGCCATTAAATCAAAGCAGACTTTCTCTTTACTGCCAGCTCTTTGTGGCTAAAGCAGGGACATAAGAATATATTTCATCTTCTCAGAGCCATCAGCATTTCTGTGGTGAAGAGCTGGTGCTTCTCATCACTCCTCACACCGGTGGGGCTGCCTATAGGGCCACCTGTAGGCTCTCCATCCCCAGAGGGCTAGCAGTGCTCTGACAAATTACTTCTATTTGTTTTAGCCCTATTTGCAGTGTGTTGTGTGGCTCTTCCTGCTGCGATGTTTTGAGGTGAAGAACGGAGGGAGGACAATTCGAGAGGATCCATTTTTCAGGTGTGTTTCTCTATTGAGTAGACTTTTAAAAAGGAGTAAGTCCAAGGAAGCAGTTCTTAAAAATCATGCAGGTGGTTGAACTGCAATACGTAGCATACAGTTATGGGGGATATTGCAGAGAATAAAATATCTGTTTTATATCCCCTCAGAAATGTCTACAAAATTTGTCTCTTCAGTTGCCTTAAATTCAGTAAATAAAGCGCAGCTTTTGCTTCCTTTTGAGTTATCTTTATACAGAATTATGAATTTTGAGGGCAATCTTACTTAAAAATAAGGTTAATAAGGGGATTTCAATGCCTCTTCTGATAATGTATAACCAGGATCGCAGCTGTGAGTGCCCACCAGCAGGAGGGTGAGCAGCACTGCAGGGGCAGCAGTGACTTGCTTCCACCGAAGCAGGGCTGCTGCTTGCTTTGCAGCCGTGAACTTCCCTTCCCACTGCATCATCAGAGATGGATGCTCTAACAAAGAGCTCAGCGTTAAAATGGCATAATTGCATGCACTGACAGCTCCTTCAACTCTTTTGGGGCTTCTCAGATGCGCAGCATAAACACATTACTCCGAGGTTTGGCAAGCACAAAAGCTTTCTGTATCAACCGGAGAGCAAATCTGGATTGATTTCTTTGCTTTCTGAGAAATCGGAATGCTGAGCGCAGGCCTCGTGCTGTTTTCTTCCCCTTAGAAAATGCTTCACAAAAGTCAAAACCTGGAAGCTGCCGGATGCCCCGCGTGATGAGAACGAAGATGAAGATGTGAAGGCGGAGAGGCTGCGGGTGAAGGAAGCGCTGAGCAACCCCAATAGCGAGGAGGTAACGCTGCAGCCCCAAACCCCAAATTCAGTGGCTGCTGGGGGCTGCAGCCACCACGGGTCATGGGGACATGGTTTCTGTGCAGAGCGTGCCAGAGCATCGCTGTTCCTTCCTCTCTCCTTTCTTAGATGCCAGCGATTGTGGTCAGCAGCCTGCACAAGGAGTATGATGAGAGGAAGGAGTTCCGTCTAGGGAGGAGAATAAAGAAAGTGGCAACGAAACACGTCTCTCTCTGCGTGAGGAAAGGTTCGAGTTGGATCGTTTGCTGTTGAGCTGCCTCGGTTACAGAAACGACTCTTGGTTTTGTGAATTAATTTGTCTGACCTCACAGGCAGTGTTTTGTGTGTTGTCCTGCCCTTAGGAGAAATACTGGGATTATTAGGACCCAATGGAGCCGGGAAGAGCACGTTAATTAACATGCTTGTTGGAGAAGTTGAGCCGACCAGCGGGCAGGTATATCCTTCCTACAAACCAAACAGAAAGTGAATCCATGCTTAACATTTGTCATTATTGCTGCCCTTCCTGAGTGTTTTTTGCTAAGTCTTCAACAAAACCAGCTTTAAAACTGACAATATTATCGACTGAAGCTGTTGTACTTCTGCAGGTTCTGATGGGAGATTATTATTCCGGAGTGAACACTGACGATGACTCGGTTAAATTCGTGGGGTACTGTCCTCAAACTAATCCACTGTGGCCAGATATTACACTGCAGGAACACTTTGAAATTTATGGCGCTATCAAAGGCATGAGTCAGGCTGATGTTAAGGAAGTTGTAAAACGGTAAGTAGTTTATTATAGAAACATTTGAGGTTTTAACTGTTTTGGTGTTGTTTTTTTTTCACTTTTCCTAACAGTATTTTTTTTTTTATTTGAGCTTCTGATCAGATCATTTAAGCAATTTCATCAAGTTTTAGTTTGTAGCTTAGGAGATAAAGATTAAACTGCACAAAATTCAATTGTTTTTTGTATTTTATTATTTCTAAAAAACTGTGAAATGCCAGTGACAGCCTTGGCAGGGGCTGTGAGGATGGGGAGGCCAAAGCTTGGAGCCGTGTCTGGGTTGTCAACACGTGGTTCCACTGGGACACAGGGCCTGTGACAGGCAGAAGCGCCCAGCTCTGATGCTGCTAACTGCTTTGCTTTTTCTCTACAAATATTTGTAATTGAGTTCTTAAATGGGACTGATTGCTTCCAGTGTGATGAGAGGAAAGCTGAACCATCACACCCTGTGTTACCTGGGCTTTTCATGTCTGCTTCTCCTTCCACAGCATCTCAAGTGCCCTGGATTTAAAAGACCACCTGCAGAAGACAACGAAGAAGCTGGGAGTCGGGCTGAAACGCAAGGTATGGAATTGCTTCCAAAGCTGCCGTGGTGCCTGCTTGCAGGAGGCATCATGGCAATTACCCTGCTCCTTTGCCCTCCTTTCAGCTCTGCTTTGCCCTGAGCATGCTGGGCAGCCCGCGGGTGACGCTGCTGGACGAGCCTTCCACTGGCATGGACCCCAAAGCCAAGCAGCACATGTGGTGAGTGCCATGCTGGCAGGGGGCTCCTCTCCGCTTGGGAATTGGTCCTGGGGAGCAGCCGCATCACTGCTGATGCTACCGGCTGGGGGGCAAGATGCACACCCCCTGTGTCCTCTCCTGGAACAGCCCCGGGGTGAAAAGCATGGAAGTCAGGAGAAAGAAATCTTCAAAGTAAAGGAATACGAGGAGTATGAGATTTGAGTCATCTTTCTTAGAAACAAACAAAAAAACTCAGTGGGACACCTTGCTCTGCCATTAGTCCACAAAGCAACCCCAGGGCTGCAGGGAGTCACTGCACACCTAACAGGAGAGGAGAAATGTAATATGCAGTGCATGGACACTTGGTGTTGGGGCAGTCTGCCTGTGCACCTCTCCGCAAAATACTGGCATTCAGCTGTCTTTGACCAGGACAGTTGAAAAACCTCAGCAACCAGAAGGAAACAAAGACTGAATTTGTTTTTCTATAACAGCAGCGTTATTTGATGATTCCCCTCCCAGTATCTTCCTAACATTTTATGCCCAGTGTTGTTTTTTGCTGTTGCTTCAGTAGTGTCCTGGTTGGGAATTCCTTTTTTTCCTGTTTTGTAGGCGGGCAATTCGGGCAGCCTTTAAAAACAAGGAGCGAGCAGCTATTCTGACCACGCACTACATGGAGGAGGCGGATGCTGTGTGCGACCGTGTGGCCATCCTGGTGGCTGGGCAGCTCAGGTACTGCTGGCGGTGGGAAATGGGGCAGCTGCTGGCCATGGAGCCTTGTTCTAAAAATTAGGCAACGATTGTCTCAACCTGGAGCAAAATTACGCGTGTGGAAAGGGGCTGTTAGATGTTAGTCTGCTTTTTTGAGTGTGGTGTAAAGCGTGTACCACCTTTTCTCTCTCTGCCATTGGTAGGTGTATAGGCACTGTTCAACACCTGAAGAGTAAATTTGGCAGAGGATACTTCTTGGAAATGAAATTAAGGGAAACACCTGATGTACAGCAGCTGGAGTATCTGCAGAGGCAGATTCTGCACATCTTCCCCAATGCAAATCGCCAGGAAAGGTAATGTTTAACAAATAAGCAGAGAACATTGAGCTTAATACAAGTCTCTGATTTCTCAGCAGCTCATCAGTAATGAGTAAGGAATGCCATAATGCTAACACTGACAAAAAAATTCCCATACAGCTTGAAAAAAAATGTTTTGCACGTCAGCAAACCCGACGTGTTCGTGCCACCGACTAGGGCCAAGCATCTGAATCATGTGTGCAGAAGTGGCATAGCAGAAGCAAAACCAGATTTCTGTATAACTGTTGCGTGATGGCTTCCTTCTCTGTCATCCTGGAAATGGGATGAATTCTGAGGCACTGGAATCCCTGCCCATAGCTGGAAACACTTGGTTGAACTGTGGGGACCTGGGGTTGAGGGTGGGTTGCTTGGCTTTCCCCCAGCAGCTTTGAATTCCTGGTGACTGCTGCTGAGGATGTCGGAAAGAGCACTGCAGGCATTGCACAAGGCACATCCTTCCCATGGGGGAGATTTAGAGGAGAGTTTGGTTTTCACAAGCCCTTGTGCAGGGTAAAGCAGGTCCCTCTTCTGGAGCACTGGGTGCAGCGTGACCCCTGTCAGAGCTGGTGTGAAAGGCAAAACCTCATCGTTTAAGCCCTGGCAGGAGTTTTTGTGTGTCACTTTATAGGTAGAATATAAATGGCTGACTCTCAGCTGAAGGGCATAAAAAGCACCGAGCAGGCCCAGGTGAGTTTCAGCTGAAGCACCCCAACCAGGGTGCTCTCAAACGGATTATAACCCTGCTGCTCTCCTGGAGCTGGGCCATCCCTCTTTTCTTGTGTGTGGACAACTCATCAAAATGCCTCAAGTAGTCTTTAGTAAATGATTTAAATTTGTTCACTTGGATATTTGTATTTTTGCTTTTTACCTGAAGCTAATTTTGTTTTGTTTGATTGTTTCAGTTTTGCTTCTATCTTGGCGTATAAAATCCCTAGAGAAGATGTACAGTCGCTTTCACATTGTTTTTCCAAGCTGGAAGAAGGTAACTGAGCACTTGCCACCCATCGTGTTTGGAAATCTTTCTGTCTCCCACAGCTGATGTGTTTCCCTTCATTCCACGTGCAGAGGCACATTTGCATTTATGTTGAAAATCCATTTAATTTCCTTTTTTCTATTGCTGTTGCCATCCCTGTTTCTTGTGAAGCCAACAGTAAGCACATGTACCAGCTTAAATCCTTTAAATCCAGTTGTCTCAGATAGCGAAGTATGCTTAAATATGCTTTCTCTTGAATTCTTTTAACAGTAAAACACACCTTTAACATCGAGGAGTACAGCTTTTCTCAGGCAACACTGGAACAGGTATGTTGAAGCAAATGTTATTCCATGAAAGTAATCCATGCCAGGCTCAGGCATTAAAGTTTTCAGGATGGGGTTTCTACAGGGGTCTGGGGCAGATTAACTTCATGTCTACTGGCCCTAATCCGTGCATCCTTGTGGGCATCCCTGTACCCACAGCTGGAGCTCGGTGCCCAGCTCCAAGGGGCTGAGGCTGCTCCACTGGTGACTTCTCTGGTATCAGGAAAGTGGGGCTGTACTTCCCCAGAACATGAATTGGGACTTTCACTTCCCCTTATTCCCGTTTTCCCCTTACATTTTAAAATAAGTCAGGCCAGCTGTGCTGGTTAGAACAAAGAAAAAAATAACTGTGGCATTAGTGGAACTATCACTGTGATTTCTTAGAAAGATAGGCATTGCTATTTTTTTATGAAAAGGGGGTAAAACTGAAGGTTATTATTGCTTAATCTGGATTAGTTACCACTGATGACAAATGCTTTCAGCTCGTATTTGGTGCAGCTTCCTTCCCATTGTTTTGAGGTGGGAGGGTAGGAGCAAAGAGGAAAAAATCCAAAATACGAAAAACTTCCAAGTCGGATCTGCAGCAATATGTTCTGTATTTGTAAGGCTTTTACCGTAAATTGTCTTGTGACTGAGCGAGTTCCTCCAAGGAACCTGGCACATTCATCTCCCTTATGTCCCTTCAAGGTCTTTGTGGAGCTTGCTAGGGAGCAGGAGGAGGAAGACAGCAGCTTCGGCACCCTGAACAGCACGCTGTGGTGGGAGAGGACACAGGAGGACAGGGTCGTTTTCTGAGCCCCTCGCCATCCCGACGGCTCGCCGGGCTGCTGGTGCTTTGTGCAAGTGATGATCCCCTGCACCTGTGTCGTGCTGGGGGAGCTGAGCTGCCAGGGCAATACGTGGAAAGCATCTGGGGCAGGGAAGGAGAACGGCATTTGGGAACGCTGAGCATCCCGGCCCGAGCGATACCACTGCAAAAGTGGTGGAAGCAGTGAGGATCCCCACCAGTACTCTGCCTGTTGTGACATTCCTCCTCTGCTGCTTGGTTCCTGGTTCACACAGAGTGAGCAGACGCTGCCAGGACACTTGGGCATCTCCTGGCGTTGGTGCCTGCCCCAGCGGTACCGCTGCTAGCTGTGCTCTGACGATGCCAAGGTTGGGCTGCCCTCGCTGCAAGCTGGGCATTTGGGCAACGCCAGCTCCCCTGGAGCATCCTTCCCCTGCAGGCATCGCTGTCTGCCCAGCGAGGCTCCGTGCGTGTCCCCACGAGGTCCTGTCCCCGTGGCTAATCCATCCCTGCTCACGCTTAGAAGATGCACCTGCTTTGGAGAGGGGGAAAATTGCTCTGGTGTAACCGTATTCACTGCAAGCAGGGTCCTGAAGTACCCCACGGGCTTAGCTTGGTGTCCAGCCAGCCTGGAACTGCTCACTTCCAGCTGCGACCCATCCCTTGTCAGCACTCATGGTCCTTTCTGCTGCAGACTGGCAGGTGTGGCGGCACTGCTGTGTGTAATGCATGCACTGTAGGGTTAAACAAGGTACACAGAAGTGGATGCTTCCCCCCCCTCCCCAGCTTGGTAAAAGTACAAAGACATAGCTGTGTAGTTATGGGATTTGCAGAAATGTGTTTCTAGTCTGTGTCAGAAACAGTCCAATTCTGTTGTGGGGTGCGACGTATCCTGCCGGCTGGGCTGGAGGCAGTCCCTGTAGCTGTTTCCATTCTTGGCGGTGAATCCATAAGCACATGCAACACGATATCCTAATCCTTCCTTGTAGTGATCGCAGTAAGTAATGCCGTAGTGTGCTCAGCATAGCGTGCTTCATCCCAGCGTGGCAGTTTTCCATTCGCCTTCATAAACCCAAAAGAGTAAGATCCCACTTCACAACCTCACACGTAGGAATCGTGCCTTTACTTTGCATAGAAGCACTACGAAGAGAAGAATACATAGTTCTTTATTCTAAGATCCAACAGATGTATGTTTAAAATATATTATTTTCTACACAAAGCTATCATCACTTTTTTTAGTTTTATATGTGAAATTGAAGATTGTTAACTGTTCATTGTGTTCTGCAATGAACAAATTTAGTGATGCATTTTTATCAAAACACTGGCTTCATAAGTCATATCAATTGTGTGTCTTCACGATAAAGTTAGAAAATACCTTTGCTTTTCTTGAGGAAATTCAGAAACCAAGGGTTAATGAGGACTTCTGTGGCCCAGCTGTTTGTACATAGTCTGCGTAATACTGGTTTTTCATCACGTTGGGAGCCCAGATCTGTTTTTCTTTGTCATCATGCAAACGTTTCTCACCCCAGCACAGGGAGATGTACAACTCTCACTTCTTCCTCCGTACCCTCAGGCTGCAGCTCAGGGTACAGATTTTGTTTTGCGGTGAAGCTTTGAGCCCTGGAGTTGTGGTAGCACCAGGACCATGACCCGAATTCGTCCCTTCTGCACATGCAGCCCCATTGCTGCCCTTTTCTAATTTTAGTCCTTTTCACCTAATAGGCTGTAAGGTAGTTCTGTGCAATGAGACTTCTGTCTGGGTAACATCATCCTATTTCACATAGTTTCTTACGTCTAACATTTCAAACAGACCCTATGGAAACTTTGTTAGCACCTGGAGTTCCTCAGCTTGGTTTTCCTGTTCCTCACCCCGGTGTAACCCAGGTGATGTGGCACTGTAGTTGTGCAACCTGCTGTATAAAGGATCTGGCACGTTGAGTTAACTTCATATGTGGGTAGGATCTTTTTGGTGTTGTGGCTTTGGCTTTCAATGTGGCGTAAGGTGCCACCCCAAGACATCTCTGGAATTACAGTATACTATAGAAAAAGTCTTCCGAAGTGTGGGATGATGTCTGTAATTGCCAGAACAGGAAAAAAACATGCAAAATTAAACTCTAGAATAACCCGAGAAGTCTAAGATTTAATCCTGCAGATTAAGTCCCTTTGTTCAGCTGTTGTCAGTGATGTACCAAGTCCTGGCTATACAACATGATCCCCACTCTGTGCTGTAGGAGGTACAACACTGGAAGAGGATGCAGCATGGGGTTTGGGCTTGCTGTGGCCCTTGGGGCAAACCATCTTTCTTCGTGCTGCCTTTCCCAGGCATAATGATCCTTAGCTGCTTTGCAGGGATGTTGCGATGAGTAATTAGCCAGTGTATCCAGAAATCTGAAGATGCCTTTACTCTGTGGTCTTATTATAAGGATGTATTTTTATATGGAGGAATTTAATGTGTCTGATTTTGTTCACGTTACCAAGAAAACCCGTATTTAAAAACATCTGTGCAGTGAGTAAACCCTAATGTAGCTGATATACAGTGTTCTGGTAGCAGGAAACAGCAGGTTGTGGGTCTAACCATGTTTGTAACACTCCTGATGTCACAGTCAGGCACTTTGAATCATTTGCAGTTTATTTAATACTTGTATTTTTTTTCCTATTTTACCATTCTGCTCTATTTGTAAAGTTGAGGTTTTCCATTTTCCAGCGGAAAGAACTACCAAAATAAAGATGGATTGGATTGTTAAGTGCTTGTCTTTCTATTATGCATGTGTTTTGCTGCCCTAGAAGTAGGGGGCACTGGCTCAAAAAGCCTGGAGCACAGCGCACCGTGCAGGTGAGCGCGCGGCATTCAGCACAGCTGGAGCCTTCAGGGTTATTTTAATGCAGGGACTAAGATCATATTTTTAATCGAATTCAGGGAATTGTGGTGTTGCAACACTTGGGATTCAACAGCGTGAAGTTGTCGTGTTTCACAGCCAGATCGATTCAGCCCCGATCCGGGCTCTTGCTAAAAGTGACCCCGCAGCAGCTGCGCGCTGCTGGCACGCGGAGCTGCGCATCTGCGGCGATGAATCATCTTCATCCACTTGGAAATGCACCCCACCAAGAAAAGTAATTCATTTTTCCGGCTGGATCCATGCCCAAGACAGGCTCACTGGGTGGCTGGATGGGTGCTCGCCGCAGGCGAGGAGCAGCGAAGGGCTGAGGGTGATGGGTTGGGAGGAGGAGGAGGAGGGGAAGGTCATCCACCTCCAGCCCTGCAGGGTCAGTTAAGGACATAATGAAATGAAAAGCGGGGTGTGCCTGTGGCAGGGAGGAAAACAACCCCGAAGAAATTTAATCTCAATTTAGTCAAAGTTCCCAGGTTTTCATACTAGTTTGTGTTTAATGGTGTCCTAAGGGCAGCATGCCTTTTTTCTTTCTTTATTTTTTTTTAAGTGTCTTCTTTAAAGCTGAAAAATGAATTAATTTCCCTGTAACGTTTCCTTAAAAGATCTTCAGAAAGTCCCTAATTCAGTATGTTGATTTTTCTCCTTAGTGAAAAGTTTCTTGGAGCTTTCAGTTCTCTTTTTCTTCCCCGAAACAAGTTGCTTCAAGAATCATCTTCGCAGCACCCGTCCCCAGCATCTCTCCTGCCCTGGTAGACACGGGCGGGCTGATGCCAGCCTGGCCCTGAGCCTCCCCCCTAAGGAATCCTGTGCAGCAAGTGCTTGGAGACCTTGTGAGCAGCACTTTGAGGTTCTTTGGGCTCTCTTGTTCCTCTCCAGTGGCACCACGGGAGGCCAGCAGCAGCACCCATGCGGGATGGGAAACCCAAAAGCACGCTCACAGCAGGCATCCCCTCTGTATGAAAATGCATTTTCTGTGCATAACCTGCAAGCATGCTAGGGGTCTGCTTTGTGCTGGGTACAAGTGCACTATAGCACAGAGGATGTGCTTATAATTTTATTTTTTTTTGGTGAATTTACTGAAAATGAGCTGTGCATCCCTGCTGTGCCTTCCGCTGCTCCTCTCCTAAGTGGGTTCTTTCCATGAAATTAAATGAATTGGCAGCCACAGAAGAGCTACAGCCCCTTGTTAAGCAACAACCAGGCTGTTTCTGTGTTTTCACTCAATTTTGCAAAGCAGATGCAGTCTCCTCAAGCTGCTGAAGTTCTAGGATAGTGAAATTACTTTCTCTTAACTATTTGAGTGGCCGCACTATACACCCTTCCAACTCATTTGGATTTCCTGGCTTATTTGGCTTCTCCACCTCCCTGTTTGGAATGCAAATCCATTGGAAATCTATTTTTAAAAATAAAAATAAAGATAAATCCCCATCTTGATTCCAGCTGCGTGGCAGCTGCTGGGAAAGCAATTAAAAGGAGTGGAAACTATAAAAAAAAAAATAGTAAAAAAATAAAAAAATATTAAAAACAAAAGGGAGATTGAAAACACGAAATAAAAGTCCCTTTGGTGCTAGGACAGAAGATTTGCCCTGGCAGAGGAAGAAGTTCTTGCTGACTCAGGCTCTGGGCGTGATGGGGAGCAGGCAGTGAAGCTTTCCCTGCAGAGGAGCTTGGCAGGGTCGAGGTTTCTTTGCCATACGACGGGGATCTTGAGCTCACCCATCCCCGTCCCCACAGCTCTGCATCTCTCCCTGGCACCTGCAGCAGCACTTGGGAACCCCGGGCAAAGGTAAATGTGTGAGCAGATGCTGAGCTGGTCAGCAGTCTTCCCTCGGAGCTGCTTTGCTGGAAAGTGTCCTTTTGTTGTTAATGTGGCAAAATCAAGTGAACTTTTTTAAAAAATCAAGTAACTTCCTTAAACCTTAAAAACGACGTTAAGCCAGCTGGTATTTAGGTTCTGATTTTGGTTTTGCTCACCCTAATGCTGCCTGCTGAGCGCACACGTGGAAAGCCTGGCGGAAACATGCTATTATATCTTCCACGCGATGCACGCGTCCTGTTAACGCAACGTAGTGTGAAATGCAAGGTTCGTAGCTCCCAGCCCAGGCCAGCTGCCTGCAGGCATCGCTCACCGGGGTCATCACCTCCTCCCCGCAGCGCTGGGAGCGCCGACACCGCCGGGACCAGACTCTGACGTCAGGCTGGAGAGGGGCATGGCCACCGGCTGCCTCTTAGCATTGAACCCTCTCCAGGACTGCAGCGAGACGACGAGCCCAGACATCTCTGAGCTGCTGGAGATGCACTTCTAATGGAAAACACATCACCAGGTAAGGGGGTCCCTGTTTCTGTTCTGTAAGTGAAAAACTATACCTGGGGTGTCTTCATGGAGGGGTTCTTTTTTCCTGGTTATTTTTATAGTGTTATGCTGAAAGTATAACAGCTCTACTTTCCAGCTCTGTTCTCTGACAAACGCTGAGTTTTACATCAAAAAGTTAAAGAGGCTTTTCTGGGTGCTCATGGATTTTGATTCTTGCCACGGATGCCCTGAGCACCACAGGTTGAGCACCCGGCGACCCTGCCTCCCTTCCCTCCCCTCCTGCGGTCCTGCGTTGTTACTGAAGGCTTTGAAAGATGGGAACCCTCAAAGTTCACTTCTCTGGGGGAATTAAAGAGTTGAACTTTGATATGGGACAGGCTTAGCACTCTTTTTCTAGAGTTCAAAGTTGGGGAAAAAACTTATTTGAAGAACTGTGTTAGAGCAGAATCTGTGCAAGCCCACCCTGTATTTATCAGGTAGTAAATACAAGGCTGTGCAGGGGCCAGCTGCAGGTTTTTGTTTGCAGACACTCACAAACAGGAGGGCACCGAGAGAGCACGTTCCCCATGTGGGGATTCAGCTTTGGTGCACGGAGAGTCGGCAGCTCCTCGTGGCAGCACGGGGTGCAGCTCACCTGTATCCCTCCCCAGCCAGCATCGAGGGTTTCCTGCCAGTAATGCCGAGGAGCAGCTTGCTTTTGGGAGTCAGTTAGGATGTGCTCTGTTCATTTTACATTAGAGGGAAAAAAATCTGAGGAGGTTCCAAGTAGGAAATCCCTGCGATGGTAAGTGAAGGGATGAGGTGCTTGCACGGGACATGCCTTCCCGGGACTATCTCTGGCATAGCAAGACACAGAACCACAGCAGAAGTTTTTGCCATGCCTAGGAAGTGTGTTCCTGGAGAACAAGAAGTTTGGGTTCATTTACTGAGCACTCAAAAAGGAAATATTTCCGGAGATACTCAGTTTTACAAGTGATGCTCTTGCTGCTTTAAGGCTTCTCAGCATTGCTGTTCCCAAAACATCTCTGGTTTCTGTCTTCTGAATCTGAAGCTTTGAATCTCAGATCCTTCAGAAGCATCTCTCCTGCTTACGTTTTGTGTCTTTGGGTATCTGCTTTAAACTGAAGTTCTTTCTGATGAAGTTCATGCAACATTTGTAGACATCACCATCTGTCTGCTTCTAGCTTCATGTTTCAGCTTCCAAGGGATATTTGTTTCTTGTTCCAGAAGCAAAAATAAGATTAAAACCAGTAGAAATTTAATTGGATATTTATTTTTTTTAGTTTCACATTTGCTCCCTTTTTGTAACAGCTTGTCAACATCAGTAGAGAGTCAGCGTAGTTTTTAAAGGACCATTGTATTTTCCTTGTTATCCGAATGCCCCCATGTGGATCTCTGTCTAGTGTCCCAGCCTCAGCTGAGCTGCTGCTTTCGGTTCACGAGTGAAATCCAGGCTTGGCCAAAAGCAAGTAGCACTTCCTCGAAATCACCTCCCAGTTGCCGTTAGCCTGCGATGTGGAAGCACGAGAGAAAGCCTGGGGCAGGGCAAACAGCAGGGAAATATCTTTGTGCTAATAATCAGAGGGTAAACAGGGATCCATCGCCCCTGGAGTATACAAATGTTTAGTCCTTCCAAAAACAAACAATGAGGGGAATGGAGTAGTGGAATCATTTATTAACTCCAGCTGCCCGATCCATGAAACCAGGAAGCGATGTCCAAGGGGAACGGAGCACAATGCTTTTGAGGTTGCTTTGATTTTGGTTTCATCCCTTCTAAAGGGCTAAAATACAAAAACGTGTTTTGAGGTTCCCTGCCCAGCTCTCGTTCTGGGAAGGTCGTGCAGGCAGTCACCACGAAGCTGCTGCTGTTCCTGCACGGGATGTTGGCTGCTGGGCTGTGTGGTTGAAGCTAGAGCTGGGATAAATATTCCCCAACTCCAGTACTTCCCTGCCCAGTATTTAGGAGGAGATAAAGAAACAGGTTGTATTTTCTTAGCGATACCCTCCTCCAGCTATATTAGACTTATGAATTTATAACATAGCATTTGAGTAGAAATGAATTATTTTTGAGAGGGGAGAGGTGGGGTAAAAAAAAAATAAATAAATAAAAAATAAATCAGCCTCTTGCCAGCGCACTTAAAGGAGATGGTGTCAGCATCTCATTTGGGCTATTTCTGGCATCTAAGCAGTGTTTCTGACTTGGCCTCCTGTATGTAGCGGGTGTTTCACTGTCTGGTTATGCCATCTAGAGCAGATGGGTGGTGGCTTACCGATGCATGGCTAAGGCATGGCACAAATTCCCTGCAAGAAATGCATGATCAGAGGCTCAGCTGCATATGCAGCATGTGCCAGAACTGCTGCACTCAGCAGCTGGCCTTCGTGCTGTGGTGGCAGATCCAGAATCTTAAGCATTTGGAGAAAATGCATTACAAGCAAACAAAATATATATATATATTCTTCCATTAACCACTCAATCCTTTCACGTTAGCTTTTCTCTGTTAACTTCACATAGGTGAAGAATCAAACTACAGCCAGTTAAAAGCCTCTTCCTACAAACCTCTTGAGGAAGACACAGGCTGAATCTGGAAATGAGCACGAGGCAGCCGGGGCTGACCCCCAGCCCTGTGTTCACGTGTGTGATCCCACACCCTTTCCTTTGAACTTCTCCTTGGTGTCTGAACTGTAACATGTGGAAAAGCTCTGGACCTTTGGCGTGCTATTGGATTTCTCTAAAGAGGAGCTTACCCAAGTAAATATATTAACTTTCAATGACCTAAATGCTTTTTTGTTTGTTTGTTTCATCCTAGGTGGGAAAATGCAGAGAATGTTCAAGAAAGCCTCAAAAATAAGCCAGCAAACCTGGGCTCTTTTATGGAAAAACATTCTGCTGGTGTGGAGGAAGAAAACAGAAACTTTCCAGGCAAGTGTCTGTCCTTCCAAAGGGAAGTTAGGATTTCCACTACCAACTGTTTTTGCACTGCATTGTTTTTGTACTAGGTGATACATGAGAAGCCTCAGCTGGTTATGTGGCTCTCTGGAAAATGTCCACAGTTGCGGTTCTCTCCGTGACACTACAATATTGTAGCATAATAAGGGTTGAGACAAAGCCAGCTTGTTGCTGTGTGTTGTTGATCCCATCTCTGCGCTGACCAGAAGAACACAATGTCCAACTCGTGATGTCCACCTATTGGCTCCCATACTAAAAAAACATGGTTTTTCACTCGGAGCAGTCCTCATACTTTAAAATTACTCCACCTGTGAAATAGCTCGTTTTCAGGAAGAAAGCATTTGTGGCTGGATGAGCCGGACCATGCAGGCAGATCAATCCTTGAAGCAGCTCCAACCTCTTCCCACAGCACCCAATTTCCAAACCACTGTGCTGCCACTCACCTTTATTTCTTTCCCATCTCCTAGGAATGGATTACCTGTGCGGTTTTTCTCTTAATAATACAAATATCATCAATTATGATAGACCACTCAGTGCGGCAAGAAGTCCCTTATAAATTCCTTGGGCGATTAGACGATCCTGCCTTTAATGCAACAGGAGTGACGCTGATGTATACACCTGTAACAAACACCACCAGGCAGATAATGAGCAAAGTGGCTTCAAACTCCGTGATGACAGGTAACTAGCTAAAAGGGCTTGGACATCCCAAATCCCAAATAACAAGAGCACACGATGTGGCTGCTGCTTCGTGTCAGTGCATCGCTAATCAGAGTTTCTGCTGTGGTGGTGTTTGTTCTCAGGTGTATTAATAGAAGAGGTGGAAAACGAGGAAATCCTGGACACAAGAGAAAATTTCAGTGATGACATTATTGGTGTGGTTTTTAAGGATGACTTCTCCTACCATCTCAGATTTCAGATTTACAGTGTGGTGTCTCCGAATGAAGCCTTTGAACACATCGGTAAGAAAGATAAATGAAACCAGAGAACTTGATTTTACACTAGAAAATGTATAGATGGATCTCTGTGCTGCCATGCCACTCAGAAGGGCCCAAGGCTGTATGTGCTAAATGCTTCTAGAAAGATTTTAATTAGACTTTGAGGTTTTGTTCACTTAGGAGGAAACCAGGGAGCCACAGCCTTTGACTCCCCATGTCACATTATTCTGGGAGAAAAACGGCTGCTCCAGGCTCAGTGGTACTAAATCTTGATTTCTTGACTCTTGGGTCAAATACATTTTCAACACACATATATACATATCTCTGTGTGTGTACATATATGTATGTACCCATATATATGAAAATATGTAGATAAAATGCTTCATTTTCTTTCTTTCCCACAGATACCTGCAGCAATTATTCATCAAAATTCTGCAAGGTCCCTTTGTACTGGTATGAGGGCTTCCTATCGGTGCAGTCCAGCATTGATGCAGCAGTCATAGAAGTAAGTGTGATCATGATAGAAAATATTCTTTCTAGAGCTATCCAGAAACTTTACTAGGAAAAAAAAAAAAAAGTCCCATGACTGTTAACTTCTTAAATATCTAGTGTCATCATTCAAAAGTGAAAAGAATGATGGATCATTGTGGCAAGTTGCATATTTCTTCTGGGTGCAAGAGATTTCCTGAGTTATGTTGAAAATTAACCTACCCATGGAATAACTGGGCTGATGCTGATTTAAAGGGTGACAGTCCATTTGTGGAGTTAAAAAGCATGGAACTTTTTTTGTTGCCAAACTCTTTTTTTTTTCTTCTTCTTTTTTCTTTTCTTTCTTCTTTTTTTTTTTTTTATTATTATTATTTTCAGGACTACAGGAAAATTCAAAGTAAAACGAATGGAAACAATATTGCTGGAATTTTTATCTTTCAGGTTTTATTTTTATCAGATTGACCCATTTCGAAAAAGAAGTGTGAAATGTTCAGTACGGACCAAACTGTATTTTTCAGTGATAAATTCTTCCGTCATGAAAAATTAATCAACTCCAAATACAGTATTTACAGAGCAGTAAAGCTCCTGCCCTTTAGCTATACTATAATTGCTTCACTACTTCTGTTATATTTCTGTTCCATCTGTTTGGTAGGCAATGCTTGCTCTTATAGCTCAAAGGCAACATTAGTGTTTATTACATGGCAGTACAAAAAGATATTAAATTTTGAGGCTAATTTGCCCCTATTAAACTTAACATTGCTCTTGAAAAACTGGTAAGTTTAATGCCTACGAAAGGCTATTTTTTCCAAATTTGGCTGTTTAGAAAATAAAGAAAATAAAATTAATGGCTCACTTCTGTCCTTCAGATGAAAACCAACCGTTCTGTCTGGGAAGAGATGAAATCAATTAGCGGCGTGCGTCTGCAATCCCCCTCCATCAAGCCTGTCTACAAGTTGGATTATATTTGGTTCATCATTTACGCCGTGCTGTGTTTCTCCCCATATATGTACTTTCTCTCAGTGAAAGTTATCAGGGAGAAAAAGAAGCTGAAGGTGCTGATGAAAGCCATGGGTTTGCAAGACCTCGCCTTCTGGTAAGCCCGATGGGAGCAGGCAGGGGAAAGGACAAGTGGGCAGGGGGCTTCTGTACGCCATTGAAGCCTTTGCTTCAAACCTTTGCTTCTTTTATTGTCAGCTGGAGGAGCTCAGATTCCAAGGACGTTGCTCTGATGCAGGATTTGGTTGTTTGTTGTTTTGAGCTTTCAAAAAAAAAAAATAAAATAAGAAGGGGGCAGTGAAAGAGCACTCTTCGTGTAGCAAAGCTCTTGGTGCCCAGGTGTTGCACACCTCCAGGAACAGGCTGATACATGCAGAGAGCAATGACAATATAAAAGTGAAGAAATTAAAAATTTTGGAGAAAAAACATGAAGCTTGCGGGGGTGTAGGGTCTACCAAAACAGGAAGGCTCTACTTCCGAAGCCTTCTGAGCATGGGTATTTCCAGTCGTTCGGAAAGCACCGGGATGAGTAACATTGGCTGCAGAGCTCAGCAGCAATTTGCTGGTGTTGCTGCATCTGCAGAGGCTTGGGTGGCTGCGAGGCACCTCCTCACTCCCCTCCTTGGTGGTGCAGGGCCCACAAAACATCTCCTCCTGCAAGGAAGGCTCCTTGGCTCCTTTCTGGTGGGGCAGCTGCAGGTGGAGCCATGGTTGGGAATTACTTTGGGTCCGAATTAAGAAGGGAGCACCTAGAACTGGCTGTGTTTTGGCAGGTGCTGACACCTACAGAGGCAACAGCAGCTGTGCCTTCCTTTGCAGGTTGTCCTGGAGCCTCCTGTACACCATTTATATTTCAATCATGGCCAGTCTGATGACTGCGATCACGATTAACGGAGTCACCCTCGATCGCAACTTTTTGGAAATGTACTTCTTTTATTTCTTTTATGGCATAGCATCTGTAAGTCTGCCTTCTTTTTTCTCTTTCTCTTTTTTTTTTTTTTTTAATGATGTACAATTTTATTTTTTCCATTTCCTAATTAAAGCATCTAAAACAGAGTACAGAGTACTCCCTGGCTGGGAGAAAGAAACAAAAACCTCTCCATTACTGCACTTTCTTGCTACAGTTTGTAGGCTAATATACCACTCCTATTCTTTGATTTGGGGAGATCTAGACTTAAAATCAGAGCAAGGAGTGGTGGTAACATGAGTGGGCATGAGAAAGCTGGTGCTGTGCAGGGCTGAGGCTGCCTCATGGGCAGGCAGAGCTGGGTCTGGTCTGCCCATCCCTATAGACCTGCCCTGAATATCCAAGCTGACTGCTAAATGGAATAATCCTTGTGAGAAGCTGTGTGCATCTCTAAGTGACAACTGGAACCCAGCTGGTTCTCTTCATGTTGCTTGTTGGATTTTTATATGTTTCTTTTTTTTCCTTAATCACAAGCAGAAATGCATCCTGCTAACACTTGTTTTTCTCTGCTGCAGATTCACTTCTGTTTCATGCTCAGCTCCTTGCTAAAGCAGCCTAATATTGCCAGTTTCGTGGGATTTGTCCTTCACTTCATCTTTGGATTACTGGGCTTTATGACAATATTTGAAAAAGTACCCCCATCTTTGGAGTGGATTTTTAACCTCTTCAGTCCTTTCACCTTTATAGCTGGCATCTCAAAGGTATGCTCAAAACAAAGCCATCAGGGGAGCTCAGCTCACAGCAAACCTGCTGCAGGCTTCTGCCAGCTGGAGGAGTACCTGCCTTATGTAATTTGCATTGCCATAGATATACAATTGCCCCTCCACCCTAAATATTTAGTACAACCAAAATTTGTCTCTAAAAAGTGCATGCTAGTTCCTAACAAACATAGTTAGAACCTGAACTGCACAAGGAACTTTGCCAGCTCTGTGTGTATATGTACATATATATATATATATATATATATATAAAAAGTTTCCAGCTCTGGAAAATGATTACAGCAGTGATCCCAGGTGGGTGTGAATTTCTTGTGGAGAACAGTCCATGATGACACAGCTGTAGCTTGCATGCAGTGTCTCTGTCTAAAGAGTGTTGCATCTGATTTGTGCTTTTTATTTTTTCCCTCCTAGGTTATAAAATTAGAAAAATATGAACCAGAATTGCACCCTCTCCTTAACCCATGCATCATATTGGCCCTAGACAGTGTTTTGTATTTGCTGCTGGCCATCTATTTTGATAAGGTTTTGCCTGGTAAGTAGAAACATAAGGAAAAAAAAGTTAAATTCTTCTATTTTTCTTCTATAACCCCCAGCCCCCCCATGGGGAAGAGGTGCAGGATGGCATTGCAGCAGCAAAGGCTGTGCCTCGTTGCATGAAGGGCTGCAAATTGGATTTACTACATTGCTTGTGAAGAAAATTTGGGAAGAATCCTGTTTCCCAGCAGCTGCATGTAGCTACTCAGTTTGGCCTCAAAAGCAGGCTCCAAAAGGAACCTTAAATCCTTTGGCAAGGCACTGAGATCATCTAGGTGTACTCCAACAGCCCTAACCACTAGGTTTAGAAGGATGTTCTGATTTTTGTATGCATTTTGGGCCGAGGTGACTATTGAGGTCTTTGCTGTGACTGTTGCCTGCCTGCATTGTAGATAGGGATGAGTGAGCAGAAACTGCAGAAATCAGCCCTCCCTCCACACCGCCCAAGGGCTCTGTTCTGCAGCTGTAGATGGACAAAGCTGAGCTGCCACACAGCAGTTTGGGCCTTCTATTTCACCTTGTTTGCTTCTGATTTAGGCAAGTACGGGGTGCCATACCCTCCTGCCTTCTTCCTGAGGCCGTCGTACTGGCTGCAACGCGGGAGCCAGGGTGCGGGGCTGCGAGCTGGCAGCCACCAGCCTGTCCCCGGCTGTGACACCGAGCCGATGCCACCAGGCTTCGAGGGGAAGGATGCCATCAGGTAACAGCTCTGCAGGCATGAAAAACATCTGCTGCCTTCTGGGTTTGGCTGGAGGGCATGGCCGGGTTGCCTGGTGAAGGGTGTACTGAGCTGCTTGAGCAGGACAGATAAGGGGAATAGCTCGTAGCTTCCCAAACGAATTATACCAGGTCATCCCTTCCGATGGAATTACCCTACCCCCTGATGGTGACGAGAAGGACCAGCCCAGGGAGGAGATTGAGAAATGTTTTTTTTCGCCTAGTTTTCAAAGTTTATTTTGAGGCAGAGGAAGCGTGCCAAAATTGTGGGATTCCGTAGTAACAGCTTGCTTAACTTTCCTTTAGACTAAACAATATAAAAAAAGTATACAAGAAGAAGGACAAGAAAACTGAAGCTTTAAGAGGTAAGAGAGGTTTTGCAATTCCTTTAATTTCATTTTTCACTAGATATGAACCCAAGCTGTTTTGAAACGTACTGGATGTACTTATTGCATTTTAACAATGCTGGAGGCATAATTATGCAATGGTTATTTCTGCCAGGGTAAATTACTGGCAAATTTCTATAAGGTTATCATCTTTGCCTTTTCACTCCAGGAAAATTATTATTTATTACTTCTGTAATAGCAGAAGCCTCCTTAAAATCCATGTTTTTTTCAGCCAGGAGCCGCTGTGAAAAATCGCCTCTCAGCTCTCCCTCATAATGTGTAAATTGATTTGGGCAAAAAAAAACCTGGCTTTAGGTCCCTGGCTGGAGCTACATCTGCTGTCATGGGCTGAGCCCTGCTCTCTAAGCATTTGCTCATTTGCCAGCCACAGGTGTGCAGGTGGTTGGCATCATCATAGCACAGCCCCGAGCAGTTTGTTAAATGCCTTTGTTTAACAAGAACGCCATGTGACAGTGACAATATCAGTGTGGTCTCAAAGGTTTACATAGGGTGAAAAAATATCCAAAATGAGCCTATTTTTTAAGGAATGCAGGATAGCAAACTCTGTATCTCCTGCTTTAAAATAATTCCTGAACACTCATATCTCGGAAAGGCTATGGGCTCTTCTTTTTGTGAGGGCTCTCTTTTGAGTCATGCCAAAAGAAAAGGCTATGAACCTTGTAGAAAATAAAATCAATGTTTTGTGTTTAAATATTAACACGCAACACACATTTTCAGATCTGTGTCAAAAGATAAAATGTTCCTCCAGCAGACTTGGCAACAAGCTACATGCACAAGTCTGCTGGCCTCACAAACTTCATCCTAATATTGCCATATTTCTCTTCTAGGTTTGTCCTTAAGCATTTATGAAGGCCAAATCACTGCATTACTTGGGCACAGTGGATCTGGAAAAACAGCTCTCTTAAACCTGCTCAGTGGATTTTCCAAGCCTTCAGCAGGTAGGACCTGAATGCAGAAGAGGAGAAGCTGTCTGGTTTGCAAGCTGAAGGGGGTAAAGAAGCAAAAAGCCAAGTTTTATCTCGGTCGCTCAGTCTGGCTCATTGTCAGTGCTCCTTCAGCATCAGCTTCAGCACTAGCACATCCCTCGTGTGTGCAAACATATGCAGATGGTTATGTCTCCATCTGGAGGGCCTGATGTTTTCCATGAGCTGCTAATCAATAGGAAATATAATTCAGTTCTTAAGGGAGAGACTTGAAGTATTTTGGAAAAGCATTACTTTTCGAGAGAAACACCCTCAATGCTGGAATTAATAACAAAGGTGTGAACACGGTGTGCTTTCCCCTTACAACTGGGGAAGATTGTGCAGTATGAAATCTGTTTCATTTATTCCTGTGTGCAGGTTCTGCAACGATATACAACTACAAGGTATCTGAAGTGCAGGATATGGAAGGAATTCAGGCAATGGTTGGGATTTGCCCGCAATGTAATTTGCATTTTGAAACCTTAACGGTGAAGGAAAACTTGAGACTTTTTGCTCACATCAAAGGGATTCAGTGGAAGGAAACAGAGCAAGAGGTTGGTATGTGCTTCTTGGTCGCTGACCTCTGTCCTACGGCATTTGGACAGTTTGGTGAGCTATATTCTAGATTATCACCAGTGTCTTGTTCTGCAGAAATTAGAGCATCACTGACTTAGGGGAGTATTTTTTTTTATATTTCTTATCCTTATGTGATGAGAGTCAGGTTTGCAGTACTTACTTCATAGCAAATCCACTTAAAGCTGGGAAGTTTTAAATCCTGAAGTCGTACCCTTCTGTATTGTGTGTAGCCATGCATGAATCAAAATATGACCAGTGTTGCGTGTTTTATTTTCATTCGTTCTCAAGGTACAGAAAGTCTTGGTGCAGTTGGACCTCACTGGCCTTCAGGACATCCACGCTGATGCTCTGAGTGGGAGACAAAAAAGAAAACTGTCTCTTGCAATTGCAATTTTAGGGAATCCCCAGGTAAGCACCGGTCATACTTGCACACACGCAATGGGTATTGTTTTAGCACATAGCTTTGCATTTTGGTTTAGAGGACAGACATTTGTACTTTGCCCTTGACACTCAGAGAGCCTGCTGACCTAGTGACTCACTTGGCTGCCAGAAGGATCAAGGAATTTAGGTCAATGAGAACCTTGTAAATGAAAAAGATATTAACAATGAAATAGAAAAAAAGAGCAATAAGAATGGCTGCCATTGAGGATGCATTTTATCCTTTGAGTGATACCACAAAAAGCACGAAACAAGGAGAAGTGGCAATGGAAATGGCAATTTGGACACATGGCAGCCTGATCTCACTCCTCTTTGCAGGTGTTGCTTTTGGACGAGCCGACGGCCGGGTTGGACCCGTGCTCCCGGCACCACGTGTGGAGCCTCCTGAAGGAGCGGCAGCCCGGCCGTGTCATCCTCTTCACCACCCAGTCCATGGATGAGGCCGACACACACGCTGGTGAGCCCAGGCATCCACCCTGAGAGCAGCTGCGGTGTAGGACTAGGGGGTCCCCACCAGCCCCCCGTGGGGTCTGGGCTTGCTGGGTGCATCGTGTCTGAGAGCGAGGTTTGCTTCAGCAACCCATCCTGTGCCCAGCTCCTTTAAATCAGGGCTTACCACGAGCTGCACGCACAGCAATTGGGGATGTTGTTCCAATTAATATCTTTCCTATGTCTTTATTTATCTTGGGCTGCCTGGGGAATTTTCTATAAGCCAGTAAGAATAAGTAAGTAAAAGACTAATCTTGGTGCTTAGGTGAAAGACAGCACTTTGGGTGTTTTGTTTTTATTTAAAAAAAAAAAAAAAAAAAAAAAAAAAAGAAAAAAAACACTTCCAGTCCTGGCCTGACTTTACTCCTCTTGACTTCATTAGAAAAATATCCGTTGAGTTCAGAAGGAGCAGAATAAGGTCAATCTACTGCACTGCTGTAAATCCCCCCTAAATCTTTCGTATTCATACCTCCTTAGATCGGAAGGCTTTCCTCTCAAATGGGAGATTAGAGTGTGTTGGCTCATCTCTGTACTTGAAGAGAAAATGGGGAATTGGCTATCACTTAAGGTAAATCCTTTTCTTTTTGGTCATCACTGTTTTTATGAAAAGCTTCTAGGCAACGTGTGTATTTTATCATAGAGGCTGTGTCTCCAAGGAGTTTCTATATAGAGTATTAGAAATCTTGACAATTCATGTTAGGAGACTTTTAAGGCTGCCAAAAATATCTTGCTTTGGATAGCAAGCTGCTTTTCTTTGGACCCGATCCTGAAAGCTCGGAGCATGTAGCTAACATGACTTTGCAACCTCCCTTGCAGCCAAAAGGGGACCAGAGTAAGAAGAATTGCAGTTTCCACATACTCTGTGGTGCCAGAGTGACGTACAGCGGCATTAATGTAAAGTTGCTTTTCTCCAGATTTTAATTTCTATGTTCTTGGTTTAGCAATGCTGGCCAGGATTATTATTCTTAACCTCAGCTATTTCTTGCTTGCATGGTAAAACCAGGGGCACTGCAGACGTCTATTAAAAAATTCCCACTGAAACACTGCCTAGTTTTGGAGGTTTGCCTATGGCTTGAAGAATGGCTGCTGGCTTTGTCTTTTATAGGGATGAAGCAAGCATTGTTTTTCTTATTTAATATTATAGCAATTGTTTTTTTAATACAAACAGGATGCGCATAAATGATGCTTGTGACCCTGAGGTCGCATCCTCCCTGGTCAGGCAGTACATCCCCGATGCCGTGTTCAAAGGACGGAGTGGGGATGAGCTGTGTTACTTGCTACCTCTGGAAAACACTGACAGCTTCCCAGGTAACAACAGCCTGCCATTGCATGAGGGTTGTAATGGGAAATGAAGTGGTGGGAGAAGCAGAATACAAAATTGCTGTGAAGGTCATAATTATGTTCCCTTGCCTGTGCTGCGTAGGATTAGGGAGCCCAGAGCTGCATGAGCATCAGCCTTGAAGAAAGCCTCTGATGAACATGCTAATATTAACTCTGCAGGTGAACAAAAGAAAATCCACCAATTAATCCACAGACTAAAAACTACTGAGTCTTCTCTGGTTTCAGGATGAGGTTTCGCCCACCAGGAAGGCTGGTGGTAATCGAGAACTCTGAATTTTGTACTACCTACCTCTAAAGAGAATGGTTGTTTTGCAATGGCTTTTACATTATGGAGCTTAGTGATATGAATACTAGAAAGTATTAATCATGCTAATTATGCCAGTCTGAGCTTCTGCTAAAGAAGCCTTGGCTGTTGGGCTGAGCCTGGCTCTCTCTGTCACGCAGATCTGTTCAACCACCTCGACAGCGGTTTCTTGCAGGGGGTTGTGAATTACGAGGTCAGCAGGACAACCCTGGCAGATGTTTTCCTGAAGCTGGAGGGCAAGGAAGCCATTGATCACAAAGGTAAAACATTGATTCCGCTTTGCAAGTTTGGCATGATTAAGGTTCTGCATTGGGTATTCAGTTTAAAAATATATATATGTAAGTTTCTGTTGAATGTGACTTGTCATTGCTTTTGTCAGGTCAAGAATTGCTGTTGTATAAAAATTCAGATTTCCTTTAGTGACAATTATCTTCCCAGAGAAGTCTAGATGATTCAGTCTTGACTTACAATGAGCTTTTAAACACAAGTATTGAAGAGTGATGTTGTAAAGGATTTGAAGGGTATACTGCCCAGACCAGGAGGTGGGAAGAGAGAAGAAAGTCAGAAGGCAGTTCCCAAGGCCAGTGAAGACATTGCATGTGTAGACACATGAGTCTAGGTCCAACCGGTTTCAATTCACTTATATAAATCAGTTCTGGGTAAATTATGGCCCTTTTCTCTGTCCATTGTTTCTTTTCTGACTGAGAAAAAAGCATTCCTCTATTCAGAGCAGAAGACCCTTGCTGGTTGTTTGCACTTACAAGCATGTCCTTTGAAAGCTCTTTTTGGATAACATTTCTCGTGTTGAACACACAGCAGATGGAGACCTGGAGGAGAGGGACCAGAGCCTTGAGGTGCATCCCGAAGTGACAAGCCCCACCGCAAGTGGCATGGCGCTCTGGAGGCAGCAAGTCTGCACTGTGATGAGAATTCGCTTCCTGAAACTAAAGCATGAAGGAAAGCTTCTGAGGGCCTTGTAAGTACAGGGCCCAGCCTGCACCCCTCGTGCTGGCCTGGGGCTTCCCAAAGGGTTTGATTCTTCCCTGGGGTGACTGAGGGAAAAGTATTTGGAAGCTAAGAGTTAGGTGGCAATTGCTTGAATGTTGCAGTAATAAGGACAGTTAGAACTTCTGGTAGAGCTCTGAATTGCTTAAGTTTTCCCCAGTTTTAAATTTCTCCCTGTCCTTTGCCACATGAGTCACTCTGTTGGTTAAAGGTGGAGTTCCCCTGGACCCACTCATGGTCTGTTTTTCCCTCTAGATTGCTGATGTTTGGAGTGTTTATCCTTCCGATGCTTATGCTTGTCATTGGATTTCACTTATGGGACAGCTCCAGGATCTCAGAGCTGACCGCCAGATTCTATTTTCATCCCACTGGAGGCAAAATTCAAAGCAAGTCGACAAATCTTCTCATCTTCAATGATACAGGTGAAGAAGGACATGTGATGTTGGTTCGCTTTCTGCACCACTCTGAGTCCCCTTAGAGCTGATAGACCAGCCTTGTCTTCCTCTTTCTGTACTGTTCCTTTATGCATCTGTGGCTTTGGGAAGTGTTTTCTTGAGAGCAAAAACAAATCCAGTTTTAGTGGTGATATCTGAGTAGCTGATATTTAAAAAAATAATGAACTAAGTATTAAAAAAAAATCATATAACCGCAGAAACATTCACTGTTTTTAAAAAGTTTAGTTCATACAGGAAAAAAATATAGAAAATGTAAGTTGGCTCAGATTCTAAATGAGTTTTTTAACATACATCTGCTTTGCAAGTGGGAGCTTGTTTATAAGAGACTATATTAAAAATCTAATTATTCTAATTTCTGTTCTTGACTTGATTTTAGGATCAGAAATTGAGGATTTCATTGCTGCTTTGAAGTTTCAAAGCATAATGCCAGAAATAGCTCTTGAGAAAAACATCACAAGCCTGCAACTACATAATGGAGCTATAAAAATATCCCTGGAAGGCAAGGTGAATGATACTTTTTCTTCTTTCATCCCGTACGTCAACAGGAGCGTCTCAAATATGTCTAAGTGGGGTACAGGGAAATACACAGAACAACAAAGGGGAGAATACTTATTTGACACATTAAATACTGTCAGTAATCTTGTTAATGGGAATTCAGGATAATAGTGATCTTTAGAGAAAAGTATTAATGCAAGTCATCCTACTTTTCTCCTGAAATTATTGCTTTTTTAAGTCATTTTGCTTGCAGTACCTATTAGCACACAGCCAGGTCTCTGAGTTCCCACTCTTTAATAAAACTGGCTTCATTTCCCACCACTTTTCTCTAAAATCTTCAGTATTATCCGTGCCTCCTCGCACCTCTTACAGACATGAAGGTGACGTCCTTTCCTCCTGTGCTTTCAGAGCTACCGATACACGCTCATGTGCGGCGCAGAGCCCATCAACTGCTTCCCCGTGCTCGTGAACATCCTCAGCAACTCCTTCCTCAGGCTCTTCAACTCCACTGCACGCATCCGCATCTGGAGCAACCCCTTATCTTTTGTGAGCATCCTGCGTCTTTTGCTGAAAATGACTCCAGATAGCCAAGCTGGAGTGATGAGGGCTGGGAGGGTAGAAGCCAGTCCAGCTGGCCAGTCATTAGGGTCATTCTCAGCAGTCAATACCAGGCCTATTTAATGAGAATTTCTTCTGCAGTGTTTTTTTTTAATAGGGCTTAAATACCATAAGAAACTCCAGCTTGTGCTATGTGGCAATAAGGGAGGAATACAGCAGCAATATTTGCAGGTTCCCCCTTGCTTCTGCATCCATTTGACAAGCATCAGTATCAAAAAGATGGTGCCTATTCTCAGTGATTTACAGTAATCCCAATATTTCTTGCAAATTTTAAGATGCTAAATGCTTTTGTTTATTGTTTCGTGTTCTTAAGCACAAATGAATTACCGTAACTACCCTTGCAAACATGCTATGAGCATTGAGCTAGCTAGGCTTTCCCCAGACAGCTGTTGATCATTGATGATTTTGGAATTTCTTTCTCGTAGAGAAACAGCCCAGAAATGAGGCGTGATCTTTTTTTCATCTCTCTCGGCCACATGCTGATTTTGGCTTCTGGTTTGCCTCCTCACTTTGCAGTGAGCAGCATGGAGGATTACAAGGTAAAAAACATGTCCTGAAAACGGTCTTGCATAAAGGGAAGGGAATGCAAATGCGACATCTCTGGACAGCAGCTCGTGTGTTGACTTCTAGGGAGGGTACTGGAAGAAACGCAGCTACTCAAACACAGCATTGTACCCAAATATGTTAGCCTGCATCTCCGGGAGCCAGCGTGTGCTCAGAACAACTTGGGTGTTAATTAACAAAGATTTTGGAGACAGATGATTTTTTTTTTTTAATTTCATATTAAGAGCAATGTGTTTTTTTAACAGCAGTTGAGCTAAAAATTGAAAGTGCCTGGAAGTGAGAGGAAGGCTCCGCTGGGGCAGGGATGAATGAGGGTGATGGAGGAGGAGGAGGAGGAGCAGGAGCAGTGTCTGGGGCCCTGCCAAGCTCCCTTCCTTCTCCTCTTTGCCATCACAGGTAAAGGCTCGTGCCCAGCTGCGGCTCGCAGGGCTCTTCCCCTCAGCGTACTGGTGCGGGCAAGCACTGGTGGATGTCCCATTCTTCTGGGCCCTGCTCTGCATCATGTTTGGCATCATACTGCTCTTCAGCCACTCCTGCCCCTTGCATTCCAGCACCATCCTGCCCATGGTGAGCTCTCGCTGGGTGGGCACCCACAAATCCCCCTCCCTCCTCTCACTGCGAGCATGTCCAGGTGGAACCTGGGCACCCAGAGGCATTCAGTATTTTAACCAAAATGGGCTGCTGTAAGCAGGATTTGGTGCATCCGCATCCATCTCCTTGCTGGTGACATCAGCCTCTCTCTCTAGATCGTTTGCACCACCGGTTATGGATTTTCTCTCATCCTCCTCACCTATTTAATCGCCTTTAAGTGTCGCAAGGGTCGGAGCAATCGCTACCTTTGGTCTTTCATCTTCATTCTGGTAAGAAAAGTGAATCTGCACTCCAAAATGTTTGATTTCCACACCTTGCCTCTTGAGGTTGCACTTCAAGCATACTGATATTCAGCGGAATAACCCCAGAATAATCGGTGGCAAATAGCCCAGTTTTTAGAAATACTTGAATACTGGAAATACTTTTTTTGATTTTATTCCAGGTGAACTTCATTCTCTTCATGATCAGTTACTCGGATGAATTTTACTGCATCATCTTCTCCACTTTGATTCCTTTGTTTCCATTGCTGGGCTCGCTGAGCTACTCATTAAGGGTACATATCCTACCAGACTCAATAATGGTCCTTGTGGTGCAAACCAGAACTAGTGTGCTGGGATCCTCACATCCACGTTGCTTTCCAAATTTCCTCTCCCAAAGCAACAACTGCCAAAAAGATAAAGAGTGAGAAAAGGCAATGGGAGAAGAAAAGGTCCAGGCTGGGGAAGGAGGGAAGGGATTTGTTGATCCTTCACTTGAATGGTTTTTGTTTGTTTATTTAGATACAAAAAGCTGTGCCAATGGCTGCCTTTTGGCAGCCAGGGGTAGAATGGGAGGGGAAGGCAGTGGAATGGGAGACCTGGAGGGATGGAGATTGCTGGGAAGAGAGAGAAAATGATGGAAAAGGTCAGTCTAAATTAGCCGGTTTGAGGCACCTCTGAATTAGCTGTAGCAATGGAAGTCACAGCTTTTTGAGGAAGTATGAAACCAGAAAAATAAATAGAAATCAAAGCTCCTTTCTCCCAACTGGCAGAAAAGCCATGCACCCCTACATCCCACACCTGCTCCAATCCTGCGCTGTGCCACACTGTGCTAAGGAGTTTTTGTAATTCTGATTTAATTATTTTTTTTTCTTTTCCTTGTAGCACACCCTGACAGTTTCACAGTATGAATATTCCTGATCCGTTGAATAACATCTTCATAGCTGTCTTTGCAGTAAGGAGCAATTTGATGATAACTATTTTGGAACTGTTCTAATGTGATGGACTTACACTGGGCTCTCATAAATCTTCCCAAAGTAAAGCATGTGTTTTGTGGAGAAAGTTTCATCTTAAATGTCGGTGGGGGAGGCACAGCCAAGTAATCATGGGCTTGTCTCATGACCCCAAGATGCCAAATCATGTGTGGAAAATGGTGGGGGGATGAAGCGGAGGTGATATAGAAGGCAGAGCTTAGACTTCAACCAACTTGTGAGAAGCTGTTATGAACTAACCAGTCTGATGCTGCTTCTTCAAAAGAAAGATGTGAGCTCTGATCCTGTAGGATGTCTTAGAGAATCTGCTATGGTGCTGGTTAACTGAGCTAAAAGTGCAGCGTGAAGTCAAGGCTTCTCAAACGATCTGCATATGAGATGGAAATGTACATAATGTTTTAATGTAACTTCTTTGCCTTTTGGACCTGCATGATTATCTTTTCAATAGGTGAAGTAAATTATGTGTCCATGCATCTCTTTATAAGTAAAATTAACTGAGTGTGTTGTTATCTTTCTCCATGTAAACCTAATTTGTTGTTGTTTTTCAGCCTTACATCCATTGCCTGATTTTTGTGTTTCTCCTGCGCTATTTGGAGATGAAATATGGAGACACAGTTACAGGACATGATCCCATCTTCAGGTGTGTCCTGGGTGCCTTGGAGCAGTGGGCATCCCTGATGGCCTCCCCAGTCACCCATGATGGCACTGGGAGAGGACAAGTGAGCTCAAAAGTATTTTGCAAAGTTTGAGCAAAGCCCTCCCTTTTAGTTCTAACCAGTTTACCCAGAAAGGAGGAGATTGAGAAAGGAGGGAGGAATTGTTTTATTCCTTTGGGTCACTTGCAGTTTCAGATTTAATTTGCTGGAGTTTCCCTGAGTGTGTCTGCAGGCACAGTCCCACCCAGCATGTTGCAACAGTTAAACCGCAATGTCCTAGTGAGAATAGTAAATGTGACCTGAGCTTTTTAAATTATGCTCTGTTGCTGAAATTTCAGGACATTTCACTATAGCTGGCAAAATTAATAGTTACAAGTCGAAGTCCAGCATTTTGCCTCCTTTCCAAATGCACCAAGTATTGCTCTCTGCAGGACAGAGTTTTCCTGAAGCTCCACCAGGCTGGGGTCATCTGCTAACCTCTCTGCTCCTCTGCCACCAGCAGTGTGTGACCAACGTAAAACATATTTGTAGAAGTATTCATTTGTCAAACATTAACAGGCAGGACTGAACTATCAGTCGGATGCCTGAAACATCTCCCTGGTGTACGTTATATGACCAGGTCATTGGCACGTGTTGAGCAGGGAACTAGTCAATAGTAGTGATGTAAAACAAGCTGAAGTTGGCCTTTATTTTCTCATACATATCAGAGTGATCTCCCTCACACACACCATGATTGAATATTTGAACAACTGCCATCTGTGGGGTGGACTCAAAGATGTTCTGGGCACTGCACCGACTCTGCCCAGGGAACAATCCTCTAAAGCCACCCACTAACCCCGAGTGTTTTTGGACCCCCCCATCCTCTCCTGCAGGATCCGGCGGCAGCGAGCCCTGGTGCAGCAGAACAAGGACCCTCCAGGGCAGGAGGCCCCCGAAGTGCAGGAAGAGAGGGAGAGGGTGAGGAGTGCCATGGGCTCCCTGCAGCCCCAGGTGAGCTGAGCACAGCCCTCACTGTCCTCCTGCTCCCCAGCTTCAGTGCCTGCCTGCTCTGAGCTCACACACCTCCACGGACAGATTGTCCACGTCCTGGAGCACTCCTCATCATCCAGACCATTGACCCTTGGTGGCAGAGAGAAATCAGTGCAGGAATTACTGGCACAAAGCTTTTATTCACATTCTGCTTTTGTTTTTGTTTTGTTTTATTTTATTTTATTTTATTTTATTTTATTTTATTTTATTTTATTTTATTTTATTTTATTTTATTTTATTTTATTTTATTTTATTTTATTTTATTTATTTTTTGTTGCCTTGTTTCTTGGATATAATTTAGAGATTTTAAAGAGCCATGCTTGATGGCAAGAGCAGCTGAGCTGTCTCACGGGACAGGAGGAGGAGAGCTTTTATTCCCACTCCATCTCTTTGCAGGAGGCGGTTATCGTTGTCAACAGTCTGCGCAAGGAGTACGAAGACAAGAAGGCCTGTTCCATGTTTAAGAAAAAGAAGAAAGTTGCTGTCAGAAATCTCTCTTTCAGTGTTAAAAAAGGTTCTAATACATTGCTGCCCTGCTCTCTTTCCCCACTCCCAATGTCCATCGGGTGTGAAGGTCGTATTTGGAGACCTTATATTTATTAGACCTTCCTTGTGTGCAACCAGACCCAGTGCAAGCAGCATCTTCTCTACCTGGGCTCCTGTACTCTGGGCTTCATTTTGCTGGGATAATTCAATGAATATCCCTTCCTCCTACTGAACTTGTAGGCATTGCTTGGCACACAGGAGACAAGGTCTTATGAATATTTATCATCATTAACTGTTCTTGCACATTTGTTCCAGGAGAAGTACTAGGTCTGTTAGGACCCAATGGATCTGGAAAGAGCACTGTTATGCACATGATTTCTGGAGACATGGCAGTGACTGCTGGGGAGGTAGGTGGTAGGAGCAGCTGGGGTAACCCTGATGCCTTCATTAATGAAGGATGCCATAAGAAAAGCTGGTAACACAGCCCTTAAATCAAGGGATTTATGTGCACACAACCCTGGATACAGACAGAAGAAAGAAGAAAGTGTCGATACACATAAAGCATATTCTAGTTTTCATCAGTGTTAGAGACTAATGGATGGGAGCTACGCAAAATCTTCAGTCTGGATTTGAAACCCTACTTGATATTTCACAAGCACTGTAAGAAATGTTCACATCTTTAAAAGAAATAACACTCTATAAAAAGCCTTGCAAAACCAGGAAATTGAAAACGAATGTGAACAGGGTTGGGCCAGTAACCATCCATCACTTAATTATGTGCACGATGATTAACGACATGTGCTTGGGGGGGGGAGGAATACCATTGCTATTACAGATTTGGGACCGAATGTCTGAAATAGAAAAGTATTATTAGGAGATGAGAGTCTCACGCTGGTACTCTCACCCGCGGTATGATGGCAGCAAACACCATTTGGTTTTGCACAAACACGGATCCAGATGAGGAGAAGCTGCAGCAGCTGGAGATGATCTTGAGTGATGCTGGGCTTCCTCCTCCATCAGGACCACATTGCGTCCCCGTAGCGCAGGAGAAAACATTACCCCCTTTCCAAAGGGCTCGTTATTCACCCCAAAACAACTCCCCGTGACTGCAGAGGTGTGTGTCTCGTGCAGGTGCTGCTGCAGGGCTGCGAGGCCACTGCCCCCCCGGGGCAGGGAGGGCTGGGGCACTGCCCGCAGGAGGACGCGCTCTGGCCGGAGCTCTCCGTGCGCCAGCATCTGGAGGCCCACGCTGCCGTGAGAGGGATGAGGAAAGAGGATGCAGCTGTTCTCATCAGCCGGTACACAGCCAGATGATTCCAGTTCGCCGTCCTTCCTCTCTCCGGAGATTTAAGACAGGAAAAGGGTTTTCTGCTGACAAATTTGGCTAGGGTGAACAAGAGGCGGTGCCTTCAGGGCCTCTTTGCCTTGGGGAGATGGGGTCTCTTTCTGCTGATACCTGCTGCCTTGTGCTGTTCTCAATCCCTTGTCTACGAAGACTTTCACCCTAGTTTGTCTAGAAAAACTTCAGAAAATATTTCAACTTGCTTCTCCTTTGGTCCAGTTGCATTACTAACTGACTTATCCCATTAGCTGCACTCACAGCCTTGAATTTCAGTATTTTTCCTTCCCACCCCCACAGCTTGGCAAAGGACCTGGATCTCCAGAAGCATCTAAACACCCCAGCTAGGAGGTTGCCTGCTGGAGAAGCCAGAAAGGTATGTGCTAGATTGGGCTTTGGCTCTGGAGCAAGGCCTGCCTAGTCCTTCCTTGAGCGTGGCGCACAGAAAGCCTCCGTCATGGCTGGGTTCCTGGCATGGGTGTCAGGGAGAGCAGAATACGCTCCTTGGTGTTATAAAAGCTTTTCGTCTTGGATTGAAGGCTAAAATTCAGTGTTGATTTAAAATTTCTGTAAATTTGATGTGCTGGTGGAAGGTCCTTAGGCTTTTTGAAGGCATGTCACTTCCCTCTAAGCCAGAAGCGCACACAGCGAGCGGCTTCCTGGCATGCTTTGGTTTTGTCAGTAGCTTTTGAATCCAGCCTGGCAGGATCTTACACTTCCCCCCCCCTCCCAATGTTGTGTGTTTAATAGATGCTAGCACAAATTGGATTTACAAGGTAATCTCCTCCTCACGCCCTGTGGTGTGCATCTGCCTGCAAACGGGATGGAAAACCACTCTCAGATCATCGGCACGCTTGGGTGCCTGGGGAAAGCTGTTTTGAGGAGATGTTAAAATGTTAACCAAGAACACCTGAGGAGGGTTTACTTCATAGTTCCTCCTGCTTTTTGCAATCAAAAGCTTCAGCTTCTAGGAGATTTCCAGGGATTAAGACATCCCAGGCAGCTCCCCGGTTTCAGTGCATTTGTACCGACAGACTGAGCACCAGCCTGACCTCATGTCTTTCCCATTCCAGCTGTGTTTTGCACTGAGCATCCTGGGGAACCCGACCGTAATGCTGTGGGACGAGCCGTCTGTGGGCATGGATGTGAAAGGGCAGCGCTGTCTGTGGTGAGCAGCAGGACTGGGATGGGAATGTAGCAGCTCGGGTCTGACCCTTATGGTTCTGGGACTGCTGGGCAGGCACAGGGCTCTGCCTCGGTGGCAGAGGACAGACATTTGTTCCCTTTTTCCTCCTGATGCACAGGGGGTTGGGTACCACTCACTGGGCTCCTTACTCAGCAGGCAGCAAGCCTTTTGCCAACCATCAGATTTAATCTTAATGGTAGTGCACCAAGAAAACCTGAGTAGACTCCAGCTGAAACAATGCATTTGGTAGAAAAGACAAAAACTCCTGTTTCTTCAGAGCATGAGAAAAAATTATAGGTAGTTCTTACTCTCCATCATACAGCCTTAGTGCTTGCTGTCATTCTTCAACAACAGATTTACCTGAAACTGCAAAATCTGGAGGGATGCGTGACAAAGTGCCATGTAGCACTGGCAGCCACGTGTCATCTTCAAGCAGGATAACTGAAACCTTCTAAATAATTCTGTTCTTTCTGGCTGTGCTGGGAGGTAAATGTCATCCCTCTGTCCCAGGAAAACAATGCAGACCGCAGTGAGAAGCAAGGCACGGGCAGCCATCCTCAGCACGCGCTCCCTGGAGGAGGCAGCGCTGTGTGACCGGGTGGCCGTGCTGGTGGCAGGGCAGCTTCGGTGGGTATCAGTTTAGCCTCATTTTAGTCTATAATCTATTTATATTATTATTTTTATGTAATTTGATAGAAAATGTTAGTTTGGTTTGTCCCTGGTATGTAATGAAAATAATTTTGTAAAGAGACAGAGTGCTTGGGCAGCGCAAACAAATATAAGTATATATAATATATAAATAATACATATAATAAATATAAAAATATAATAAATATAAATAAATATAATAATATATATAATATAAATACATATATATATATATATACAAACATTTTTAGCTGATGAATTAGAGGAAGTACATATCCTGCTTATATACAGTGGTTGCTTTATTTGCCGCTTAAGCTGCTTTAAGCACCGTTTTCCCTCCTCTGCAGGTACATCGGTTCCCTTGAGGAGCTGAGAAGGAGGTTTGGCACAAGTTACCACCTGGAAGTCAAACTGAAGGACGCGGGGCAAAGCGACTGCTATCCACACCGAAATTCTGCGCCTCTTCCCCCACGCAGCTCGGCAAGAAAGGTCGCTACCCAGCAGGCTGCACACCAGCCTGGACACATGCTGGGATTTTCTGTTGCTCCTACTGACCCCGCTCAGTCATTTACCCAAAAGCACCCAACCCTACAAGAACACCTAAACCTTGGTGCTGAGTTACACTGTGATGGGTTCATTTTTTTTTCTTTTTCAGGATTTATTCTTTGCTCAGCTACAAGATACCAATGGAAGATGCACTACCTCTGTCCCAGTCTTTCTCCAAGCTAGAAGCGGGTATAAGGAAACAAACAATTTAGTATGAAGATTATTTTCAAAATGCTCATACGGATTTGGTTTTTAAAGATTCCTTCTCCATCCCTCTGCAGCTAAACAGAATTTCAGGCTTGAGGAGTACAGCTTGTCTTTGCACACTTTGCAACAGGTATGTTGACTGAGAATGAAAATGTCAGGAATGCTCCAGAGAGATGGTGCTAAATGGCTGGAAAGCTATTAAAAAAAAAAAAAAAATCAGGTTTGTTGATTTCTAAATAAGTTCCAGAAATAACAACCTGGTGCTGATCTTTCAGAGGAAAATAATAAATAAAATAAAAAATCAGCCCTTACCAGTTTTGATTCAAATCTTTCTATATGAGAAAGCTGAACATAAAGGAAACATATTTCATATAAGATATGAGAAATGATATAATATAGGCAAGATCAGAAACTGCATGTATAAGAACAAAACCAGGCTACAAGGACCATTGGTACCAGCAGTCCTTAGCCATAACTGGGTTGTTTCCACTGTGGTGCCTTGCAGGTATTCCTGGACCTTACCAGCGACCTGGAGGAGCCCGACCTGGAGGCAGCACCCGAGGGGGCTGTGGAGAAGAGGCTGCTCCAGCCCTGAGCCCTTGCAGCCACAAAGGAAAGCTGTCAGCATGCTCAGCCAGTGCTACGGGGGCTGTTGGGTCAGATACAGCCCTGGGACTGGTTACCTGCTTCGCATCACGTAGAGCTTAGCAGGTGCTCTGCAAAGAAAAGAAAAAAATATATATTTTAATAAATAAAGCCTTTATCCTTTGACAATCGATGCCTGCAGTCCATCCACACACTCAGACTGACTCTCCTGATGTGCTGAGGGATAACCTTGCCAGGATGTTTCTGGTCAGCCTGGACGTATACCCCCAGGGGCTGTGCAGGGGCTCATTTTTGGAGGAATTCATCTGCAAAGTTGGAGCAGGCTCTTAAACCTCCATTCTTAAACCCGGCTTCACCCACAGCACAAGGACACCAAAGATTTGGCTCTCTCAAGCCCAAGCAGCATCCTCCTGGTTGGTGCTGTGAGGCGGAGAAGGGTGGTGCTTTCTATGAAGGTGCACGGGGCTCGGTTTTGACCCAAAAAGTGCATTCCAGCCACCTCAACCCATCTCTGGTCCACGCCACTGGGGACATGGAGAGAGGAAGGAGGAAAGGATGTCAGGGCCTGGCTGCTTCTGCATGCTTCTGGTGCTTGGGCTGAATTGGCTCTAAATAATAAATGAGAAAATAAGCATAACAGAAACTGCCCCTTCGTTCAGACAGCCATGAGCAGGACCTGGCATATCCAACTCTCTGCTTAATTCCACCACCCCCATTCTCAAGGAAGGAGGAGGTGCACACACCCAGCAGGTGCGCGGGGATGCTCCGTGTCCTGCCTCACTCCACCTCTCAGTCTGCCTGGATCTGGCTCTAAAGCATCCAAAAGACACTTAAATGTCAGAGGGTTTTGCAGGGCAGAGTGAAGGCAGCAGCTCCAACCCCTCCTCATGCCCAGCCTCTCCCTCTCACCCCGCTTCTCTAAGGGCCATCGAGCTCCGCGGCCGCATCCCCAGCCCGGGCACAAAATCAAAACCGTGCCCTTTAGAAGCAGGCTGTCAGTCAAAAAAAAAAAAAAAAAAAAGTTTATTTTGATGTTGGTGAGAGGCTTTGTAGTCCGAAGGGCTGTTCCCATCCAGGTGGCAGCACTTCACTGCTCTTCCCACAGCAGGGCTCGTGGCGCTGAGTTTGCAAACAAAACCGGTGTCAGCAGAGATAAGCAACAGGCAGCGGTCGCTCCTCCACCTCCAGCAGTGTGCCGAAACACTGCTGCTGACTTCAGTCTCCATTGCTGCGCTGAAAGGCGTGAGAGTTTGCCAGATGAAGGATTTTTCTATGGCTTATTGTTGGGCTTATTTTTCCTCCCTTGGCCAAGGCTCAAGAATTTCCTGAGTAACTTTTTTTTTTCAGAGAATCGGCTTCGGCGACTCCGCAACAATATGCTCAGTTTGCTTTTTATAACATAAATAAATCTGACAATCTGCCAAGGAGGAAGGCGGGGGGTGGGGGGGGAGAAAGCTGAGGAGAAGCGCGGGTCCGTATGAGGAATGCCTTTTGGCAGAAATGCCCGAATGAAGAAACGAGTGCGTGAGCAGAGGAGCTCCGAGCACCACTGCAGCAACTGGCCAGCGTCTCCCAGGGAGCCTCAGCATCCCTGCGTCCACGGGCACGTTGCAACGAGCCATCTTTGGATTCCTTTCAGACCTTCCCACTAAGGTAAGGCTTAACCATTCTTAAAACCAACAAAAATCAGTATTTAAGAGAGATGGAAAAAACAGTTATTAGGAACAGCATAAATAATGCTGTGAGAGACACGAATGCATAGGTGGGTCCCTGGGTGTCCTTTCTAACAGGCTGAGTTAAGCTTGTGCTTAAGCTTGTTGTCACTTTTAAATGTGACAGAGACTTTCAGCCCTGCTTTGGTATGGGATAACACTGAAACGGAGCTCGGTTTGCAGCAGAGGTGTATTTCTGGCAGTTCTTGGTGCTGGGACGATATGGTGCACTTCAGCTGAGTTCAGTGCTTTTGGTCCTCCATGCACACAGAGCAGCAGATTTCTGTCCTACATGCAGAGTAAGCTAAAGATGGAATCCTAAAAAAAAATCTTCTGTCTGTCTTTCACTGCTAAAAATTCCCACTGGGACCGGCTGGGGTCAGGCAGAGGTGGGGGTGATGGGAGGGACACGTGGGACATCCGCGATGGGACCTGGTGGCCAGCTCTGTCCCACCCGGGATTTCCTGGGTGTGAAGTTTAAATCCAGCCATGTGTCAGCTTGTCTGAGTTCAGGTCCACTCCACAATTTCGGGGAAGTCTGGAAGTGGTTACCAAAGGCTGAATTCATATTTTTATATGCCTGGACAAGGGCATCTGTAAGAGAAGAATGCATTTGGAGCGTGATGGCGAAATAGCAGATTCTTGTTACCGAGCCAACATGCTCAGCCCTCTCCTCCCGACGTGTCCCACAGGGGAACACCGCTTCTTGCAGCAGTTTGTGGAGTGCTTGGTGCCCACCACATCGCTCCGGCAGAGCCTGGCCGTTCCCCGGGCACTTGTGCTGATGCTCTGGCTGCCAGTGAGGCCAGGAGCTCAGGATTAATGTTCATTCATGCCTAAGGTAACCTGCTGCTGTGGTCCAGACCCCGTTGAAAGCCAGGGCATCTCCAGGTGCTGCATGGGGTGCACACTCCTTGCATGGAGGAGAAACTGAAAATATGGCCCCAGTGTCCATGAAATCGTACAATGTCGAATATTCAAGTGGATGGCGTGGAGAGTAATAAGGGAGGGGAAAAAATGTTAATATAAACACTTGAAGAAGATAAACAGTTTGTTTATGTGAGCGTAGTCCCTTTGCATCTGGGACTGTGTCCTTTCACTCATTAAAGTTACTCATGACTGTTTTCCTGATGGTTAACATAGACATACTTCATCCGCAGCGTTACTCCAGCTCGCTTTTTGCCTCCGTGCCAGCATTAGTCATTATCCAGGCAATGAATCCCTGTTTTCCTTTGACCACAGATCGTAAGGATGCTGCCAGCTCTTTGGGAGCAACCCACCAATGCACACTCGTGGCTGTTTGTTTCTCTCTCATTTCCCGTGAAAAACCCCGACAATGGCAGCTCTCTGAATGCACTTCCAAGAATTTGTTCTCTCGTAGCTCCCAGTTGCCTTCAATTGACTCCGGTTTCTGCATGAGCTCAGCTTGTACCATGGCCAGGCATTGCTCAACTTGGTGTTGAGCCTATAGCACATGAAAACTACATGCAAGTAGAGTTTGGCAATTTTACTTGACCATGTAGTTGTCATTCCTTGGATATTAAGGCCAATCAAGCCAGTTATGTCATGCACTCTGATTTCAACTTCACTTAACTCCTCCCAGCCCTCCTAAAGCATGGACGCATGGAAATTGGGTCAAAATTGGTGTCTTAATGCCGAGCTGCAAGGATGGGGAACGCACTGAGGGTGATGAGGGTCTGTGGCAGTGGGATCTGCAGAGCAGGGTGCCCTGGCACACACGCAGAGGTGGTGCAAATAAAAGCAGTTGCTGCAGTTCCAGCTTTGGTTGTCTCCAAAAGTAATGTTTTATTATTATTTTTTTTAGTACACTCAAAGATGAGGAGACTTCAGAGAAATCTGAGTGTGTTCCAGCAAACTAAAATTCTCTTGTGGAAAAATGTACTTATCAAATGGAGGATGAAAATGCAGAGCTTTCAGGTAGTTTTATTTCATTTAATAATAATAATGATAATAATAATAATAAGTGACCACTGAAAATTGTCTAATCCCTGCATACCCTTATACTTCAATTTCTTTTTATGATGTTAACAGCTAAATTACATTTCAGAAGCCCTTGCTGGTAATGAATGCTTTATGAGGCTATGCATTTTTAACTGATACCTGTATTTTTTGATGCATACAAGAGCACAAATGAGTTCCCTGAACGAGGTGATGTGCACAACCCAAAGACCTTGTTTTTTAATTGGTGTCTAAGAAACTGGTGTGACCGAATGCCTCGTGTTTGTATTTTGATCCAGCAGAGAAGATGCTCCTATCCTGCTATACTACTAAACTCCCTTCTCCACTCACCCCTTACCTAGGAGTGGATGCTGTCTCTGCTCTTCCTGCCACTGATGTTCATTGTGGGCAACTTCATGCTGCACATCCCCTACCCCGAGGTGCCACACAGCTACCTCGGGCAGCTGGATGACCCTGCCTATGATGCTGCTGGCGTCACCATCGCCTTTACACCCATCACCCCAACCACAAGGCAGATAATGAATGCAGTGGCCTTGAAGTCTGTAATGACAGGTATAACTTTGTCTTTTAAATATTTGGCTTTGTCTTTATTTAATCTGTTATGTTTTGTGTTACTTATTTTCAAGTATCTTTGGTCAGTAGAGAGAAGTTCATCCCAAATCCCCTATTCTCACAAATATTTCTTCACAAATATTCTTCAAAACTAATTCTGGTAATTTTAACTACTAGGGAGGTTGGTGTGTGTTTCTGCAATGTAAAGCTTTGCCTAAAATCTTTGCCACTTTGTAAAGTGAGCAGAACTGGAGAAGGGGAGCTGCAACCCTGACAAAAGCAGGATCTATCCCCAAAGCCTGTGCTCCCATTTCTAGAACTGCAGAAACTCATTGCAGTGTTTCTTCTTGCAAACCACAGGTATAAAGCTAGAGGCAATGGACAGTGAGAGAGCCCTGGAGGAAGCCTGGATTTCGAATAATGAAATTATTGGGGTTGTATTTAAAAACAACTTCACCTATTACCTCCGGTTTCCTACTGGGAATGTGGCTATTCCAAATGACAACCTTGGATACATAGGTAGGTACCTCAGCTGTTTTCTTGTGCTCTTTGATGCCTTTATTAAACTGTCATTTTTTTTTTAAGTTATTGGTTCCTGTAGAGCATCTGAATCTTCAATTTTCCTCTTCTATTAAATCAACAGTGGTGTATGAGTGATGCCCTTTTCCTTCCACCCTCCAGATACCTGTTACAATTTCTCAGTACGATACTGTGACAGCCCCAAGTATTGGTACAAAGGTTTCCTGTCCCTGCAGTCCAGCATCGATGCTGCTATCATAGAGGTAAATCAGATTTATGAACTGCAGTAGGTCTCCTTGTATTTTAAACTCTGTCTAGGAAAGACAAATTGTTCTGGGACAATAACAAGGGACAGGCTTGTCTGAAAACTCTCCAGAAAAAAAAATAACATGAAATACTCAGCTGC